CCCTGCTTGCGAGGACCTTGGTTCTCCCTGCCCTACCTTTCAGCCGAGCAGCGACAGCAGCTCCAACGCTGCTTTAAAACCAAACAGCACCCTCCCCAAAAACCTGCAAGGCATTTTTAAGCAAGGGCTGGATGTGCTCTCTAATTCAGACACACTGCAGCAATTGCAACCTGCTGGGAAAAACCAACAAACAACAAAAACCAGCACATTGTGCTTTTAAAAAGCACTTTCTTAAAATCTAGAATTTGAATGCAAATTTTTTGGCTTCTGTTTTTCCCCCTCTACCTCCCTCCTTTCAGCACCCTCTGCAGCGTTGCGCAGCCCAACCTGAACACCGGTGGGGATCCCACAGCCTCCCCGGGGAGCTGCTGCACCGAGCCCTACCAAACCGTGCTGCTGCTGCTAGCAGAGGCATCTCCTCGTCTCAGCGCTGCAGGGCCAGGATCTGGCGGACACCAGGCACCTCCACACAGCTTCAGGACACCGCGTTGCCCCGTGAGGGGCTCCAACACTCTGCACTGCTTTTGTGTGCAATGTCTCACTGGACTCGTACCTGTCGCAGCAGCACTGGACGTGTCCTGCAAAGCCTGAGCTGCCACAAGGCAGCGAGCCGCGCTTCCCCGCGCTGGGACAATCACAGCAGCGCTAACAGGAGCTAACACCAGAGGAAATCGCTTTCAAGGCCTCCATCTTTAACATGCCAACGTTTTACTTCTCCATTTCAGCCAGCCTTTAACTTCCATGTGGTTTTACACTGGAAAAGGCCATTTCAAGGGGTGTACAACTGCGCAGTGCTCAGGTGCGCTGAGGTTCCCCCGCAGCCCCTGCCCAAAGCCCCACGCTCAGGCCCTCAGTGACGTGAGGGCAGCCGGGAGCTACAACCACACGGACACCCCGTGTCTGCTCCCAGGGCTGCAGGAATGTTGCTGGTGTGTCCTGCTTTTAGGCTGAAGATGCACCACGCCACTTCCTAACCAAACCTCTACTCACGACTTCTTTAACCACAGTGCCCAAGCGTCACAGCCCCTTTCCATCTCAACACGTTGAATTTTCATATACTGAAGCAGTTAGTGAAATAGCCCAGCTTCTAAAATGAAGTTCCAGTTGTTTGTTTTTTTTCCCATTAGCTGGAGATAGACAACTTTCATGGGTTCTTTGCCATGAGCAGCCTCTTCTATAACAGGAGCTTCCAAGAGAAGTCAGGGTGACAACGGCTAAAAGCCACAAGTCAGACACTGAACTTGTGTTCTAAAAGGCCGCTATCCCAACGAGGCTTTCACGTAGGACAGGGCAAGAGTCAGGCCCCTGGGGTTATGCTGATGCCCACTTTCACCATTAGGTTTTGGGCATCTTCCTCTGGGACTGCCTCTGCCCTTCCAGCAGCACGCGACAACTCGTGCTTTAAACAAGTCGGATTCTCCCTGCCTGCCCCACTCGCTGGCTGCTCCAGGTCCGTGCTGCCATGTTGTTTCTCGTCTGCCTGTTTTTCATAGCCTTAAGTTAAATACATTTGGCACACATGAAGCAGGAAAAGGTGTGAAGTACATTCCCTAATTCATCCTCTGCACAGCTAGAAAGTGTTCTGAAGGTGCGTAGAAAAACTTGCCTCCATTTTACAGCTAAGAAAGCACAGGTCGAGTAGAAAAAAAACACAAGTATTTTTGGCTCCTATCCCTATACAAACACAAAAAAATAAAAAATTCATTTTACTCTGAGTAAATAATTGTTAACAGATGAAAAAAGAACTACAAAAAAAAGCACACCTCTTTAAAGCCACTGACTGAACGAGGCCTTCAGACCCACAGATAGGTCTGAACAAAGCCAAGAAGCGCGGTGCGAGATCAATCTCAGAATCTCCCACTGCTTCCTCCGGCACAACCTCGATTACTATGAGAAATGAGAACAGACAGCGTAGGCTCAGTATTTTCAGTATACGCTGGAGCATTACACATCGGCAGAAAACCTTTTGGGCAGGCTCACAGGAGGCGAGTGCTAAAGAAGTCAGTTTGCCTGCACGCGAGGGCTACGCACCGCAAAGTTGCGTTAAAACTCACCGCCAAGTTGTGTGCCTGTCCTCCACTACCAAGCACGTGTTGGTCAAGGAAAAGCTCCCGGAGGAGCAGGGCAGCACCAGGAGCAGAGGCACGTCCTGAGCCGGGGTGCTGGGATCGCACCGGGCTGGCTCTGTCCCGGCAAGTTCCACCAGGGCGACAGCCGTCACCCGCACCCCGTCCAGACACCGCACTGCCCACGGGAGATGCTCCTTTTCCACCATAATAAAAGCCTCCCCCCCACTTTTTTTTTTATTTTTTTTTTTTTTAAATCTCTGAGGCACGAAGCCATAGGAAACGGGGGCAGCAGCTCTGCTATCTGAAACGAGTTCCCCTCCCTCCCCCAGGCTGAAGGCACGACTGTCACGAAGATCGGCGGCAGGAAAAAACCTGACAATGGAAAAAGAGCTCGTGGGAGCCTCGAGAGGTGTCGGGGAAGGCACGAACGGCCGCGGGCCGCGATTCACGGCGGGCAGCTCCGGGAGGACGGGCAGCGGCACCGATCGGGTTACCGGGCCGGCAGCAGGGCCGGGCAGGCGGACACACGGACACACGGACAGGCGGACACCCGGAGCCCCGCCGCTCCTCCAACAAGTGCAAAGCGCCCCGGGGCCGGGCCCCGTGCGAGCAGCGGGGGCTCCCCGGGGACGGCCCCGGGGGGGCAGCGCTGAGGACGGGCCGGGCCGGGCCGGGCCGGGCCGGGCCGGGCCGAGCCCCCCCCGCTCCCCCAGCCCCGTCCCGGTCCCCGCCGTGCGCTGCCCCCCCCCTCCCCCCGGGGCCGCCCCCGCCGTGCACGTGCCGCCCGGGCCCCGCGCGCTGCTCCCCCGCCCCGTGGGGTCCCCGAACCGCCCCCGCACCCCCCGGTGCTCACCTGCGGCCGGAGGAGCGCCGGGGCCCGGCCCCGCAGCCCCGCGCGAAGCGAGCGAGCGGCGCCGCGTCCCGGTCCCGCTCCCGGTCCCGGAGGCAACTTCGGCCGCGCGCGCCCCCGCCGCGCGCCCCCGCGATCTCTCGCTCTCTCCCCCTCCCCCCACCCCTTCCCCTCCCCTCCCCGCCGCGCTCGGGAGCGCGCCCGGCGGCTGCCACGCAGGCCGGGGGCCGGGAGCGCGCGCGGGCGGCCCCGCTCCCCACCTGCCGCCGGGCTCCGCCGCCCGGCCTCGGGCTCTGCCTCAGCCCCGGCCCCGGGCTCGGGCTCGGGCTCGGCCGCCGCCGCCTGTGCTCGGCCGCGGGCTCCGTGCGGCCCTGCGGGGGGCTCCGCGCTGCCGCCCGCTCGCCCTCTCGGTGCTTTTTTCCACGTCCCGCGATGAGTCACCGCCGGAGCGCCGCTGCCCCTGTGGAAGGAGCATGAGCGGAGCCCTCCCCCCGCCCTCCCGCCGCCTTCCTCCCCCGGAACGTGACGGCGGCGGCCCCGCGCCTCGCTCCCGCCCCGCCGCGGCCTGCGCTGGGCCCTGCCGGGCCGGGCCGCGCCTCCAGCCCCCGCCTCAGGGCGCTCCCCGGGTGCCCGGGGTGTCGGGGCCGGGAGCCCGAAGCCCTTTTGCGAGGGGAGAGGAGCCCGAAAGCCGATAAATAAAAGCCAAACCCGCGGCTCCGGCTGAACCAAGGCGGCGGGGAGAAAGGCGAGCGGGGGTAGCCCCGCTGCCAGCACCGTGTGGGGGCTCCGGGCTCGGGGCTCGGCCAGGTTTTGGCCTCCCCGGCCTTGTCCCACCGGGACACAGCAGCAGCCACGGCCACCACACCGCGAGCTGGCACCAGCACGGTGCCGTGGTGTGGGCGGGTCGGTGAGCAGAAGCAAGTTTTGCCACTACACTAGTTGGTTCCTACTTGGAGCTCTGCCACCCAAAAATAACACCTTTTTTTTTAAAATGACCACCGACCAAGGCCGTTTGGTCACTGCGAGCAGCTGGCGTGTTGCTGGTGATGGCTGTGACCCCGCCAGGCTGGGAAATGTGGGCACACGAGGGGGTCACAGGCAGCACGCGGGGGACCCTGTCTTTGGGATGTGATCTTGTCCCATTTGTCCTGGGCCTTTTTGTGTTCCCCAGTTCCTTCAGGCATCCCAAAGGGAAAGGCTTCGCTCTGCATCCCACACTTAGAGGCATGGCCAGCACCTCCTGGAGAAATGCTGGCAGCCTGCGGGGCTGCTGCGTCCCCAACCTGCATCGCCTGCGCCAGGGCTGGGGCAACCAGTTACCTGTGACATTTTGGTCCAAACAAGTCATTGCTGCCAGCAGACTTTCCTCACGTAGTTTGAGCTCCAAAATCCCAGTTCTGCAGAACCCGAGAAGTCCCAGCACGTCCCTGCACAGGTGGCACTGTTTGTTCATCAGAACTGCTTTTAGGAAAACACCCTCGCTAAAGCCGGGCCACCTCTGGCACCCAGAGAGACAAAAGAGCCGCAGCAAATGTTTGTGGGATACTCAGGTTATTTTGTAAGATCTGAGCTGATTCTTTTGAAACCGTCACTAAGTTTTGTTTTTGTTGTAAAGTTGTTTACACAAAGCTAATATAAATTCAGTGCATCCAGCCTGGGTGAATATAAACATGATCCTTGCAGGGCCTCAAGTTTCTGATACAACTCACATTTAAGATACTGCAGAAGTAGATTCTATCTCCCCGAGCAGCTCTGATAGCGTAGATTTTTCTCTCAAGGGTACAGATGCCTGCACAGCTATGCAATGCTTCTCACTAGAGACAGAGCAATAGACACAACAGATGGAAACTGAGAGGCCACCTGGTTTTAAAGCAAATCATATCATCAATCTATCAGTACAAAATCTGAAACATGGGAAAGTGCTTAGAGAAACAAAATGAATTCAATTCTTTTTTTTTCTCCAAACTCAATTTTCTCAAGGTCTGTTGATGTGCCACTTGCAAAAATGCATTTCTTTCTCTTAAAAACAGACTGCCAGAGGATCGAGGTACAAGAACTTTCGTGTTTTACATCAAAACAAAACAAAAAAGAAAAAAAAAAAGAAAAGGATCTTTTGTTAGGCTGCCATGAGTTACTGTCTTGCTATTCAGAAAAGCTGTTTTCAAAAATCTGCTACATTCTTGTGCACAGCTTCAAGATCCAGGTTTTTCACTGCTAAATTAGACACACCAGACAGAATTACTTTGGATTATCAACAGCAATTCAGTTAAGCAAGAAAATTAAATTTCCTCAATTAAGTCTTGACAGAAATAGGCTTTCTTTCATGCAGCATGCTAGGATTCTGCTGCAGTTCTCCTTCAAACAACCCCCAAAGCGAGAACTTCCAGAAGATGTTTGCGTTTTTCCTTCCCCGTTGCGGCCGCTGCCGGTGGCTCGCGGCGGAGGGAGGTCGGCCCCGTGCAGGGCCGGGCCCACACGTGCTCGAGGTGCCTCGACACACACCCACCCGTCTAAAGGCAGGTTGAGCTCGCTGAGCTCAGCTCCCCGTTTCCATTTAACCAATTTCACTGTTTTATATAGTTCGATGTGCTGATGTACATTTTAATCTACAAATATTTCGAGTCCCACTGACGCAGCTGTCAGGAGGAACTCCCAGCAGGCAGCGTAAGCCTGGAGCTCAGCCTGTAAGGAGCGGAGAGCTACATAAAAAAGGGTACTTTAAATAACTTCGTTTTTAACCTAACACAAGGAAGTGCTCTTCTGTTCCAGCACAGCCAGGCTTTTGTGCCTCTAAAGCTCTACGGCCAGAGCTCACACGGTCACAGCCTCCTCGTTCCCCACAGCCCAAGTGTTTTGGCACTGCTCTGCCCCGTGGCCTCGAGGCCACTTTACTGCCGTCATTCACACACAGCCGAGTGCCACAGGTAGGCCAGCACAGCGGTGGGGGCTGAGAAAATTAAACTGGTACATTTCCTTATTTCTTGCGGGGATGAAGGTTCCCGGTAGTGAGTCTGTATCTGGAAAACTAGAATGATCTCAACCCAATTCTTTAAGGATTTTAAATCAACATATAGTCAATGGGATTGATTTGCCTTATTCTGAGTGCTAAATGCAGCTGTCACTGTGTCCTTCATCCTCAGTCCGTTATTGATAAATTCCTGGCCCTACTGACTTAATATATGCCTATTGACTTATTTGTTATTTTCCATTCTTAATAGCAGCCACTGCGGAGACTTCTGCTAACAGTTATTTTCAGAAGAAAAAAAAAAAAAAAACACAAACCACCCTTCTTCCTCAAATGAAACTTGCAGAGTTTAAAGAGCTTCAATTTTCCAGCAGTAGCTAGAGAAGATGGGCTGTGAATTTTTCTTTCCCCGTGCACGGCGGCAGCGTGCCTTGTCCATGCACACTGCATGCAGGCTGACTTTCACGGTGTGTCTGCAGCCTGCACGCTCGGTTCTCATATTTCTGTAAGGTTCGAGTCCCAAAGGAAGCATTAATGCTAAAGGAATGCATACCAGCGTGTAACTAGTCTAAAAGTCAGTACAAAATCTCTCCAACAGATTGCTCAGAGAAACACCTCTTTTTTACTGCATTTAAGATCTGCAGATTGATCTCATGAGCATTTGTGCAACAGTTTAGTCTCAAACTGATAAGAGTGCTGCACAAAGAGAGAAAGGGAATCAAAGGAGATTAAAAAGCGCTGGTCTTCAGGAAGATAAGCGACCTCGAGCCGCCACGTGACCCCGCCAGCGCTCCAGCTCGGCCGCCTGCGGATCTCATCAGGGAACCAGATGTGACCAGTGGCAGAATATCCTGCGCAGCGTGAGATCTGGAGTCTGTGATTGCCATCCAGGAAAGGGGAGATGGGAAAGTATGATGGAGAAAATGTCCTTTTTTTATTTTTTATAGAGTTTAATTGCTGAGAAGAAAGACACGTTTTCTTTTAAAGAAGAAGGGATGCTAGGAAGCAGGCTGAGGAAGGTGTCTGGAGGAAGGAGCAGAAGGAGTTTTTGTACTACAGACAACTTAACATCGCTTCCTCCTTGCTGGTGATTGTGTGTTTGGAAGGACTAAGCGGCAAGGAGCAGTTCTCATTCATTTCTTTGGTCAGTGGAAGCAGGGCGGGGTGGCGGAGGAGAAGCAGAAGCGGCCAGGAAACTGCTTCCACCCGCAGCTTTGCTCACCCTGCCTGGTGCCTGTGCCCATCCCCAGCACCGTGAGGGGCCCGGCGTGGGCTCTGCCCTGCAACCAGGGCTGCAGGTGGCAGCTCTGCTGCCCTTGGGGAAGGGCGGGTGGAGGATGGGGGTTGTCAGGTTTGTGCTCGCTGCTTATTTTGGGGAGGAGGAGGAGGAAGTTGCTGTACAGAGCTGGAGCTGGGACAGCTGCAGGTTCTGCACGGGGAGGTTCCACTCCCCGTGCTCTTGCGAGAGGAGTGGTGGATGCCTTGCCTCAGCCCCAGCGAAGGGTCAGGAGATGAAGATGAGCCCTTGCATTTGTATTCAGACAAAGGCCAGGGAAGCAGCGCAGCAGCCGAGCGCTGGGGCGAGGCCCCCAGCAGCCCGCGTTGCCAAGCAGATGGGCTGCCGTGTTCTCAATCAACTCCAGTTTTTAAGGTCATGCCTAGATAATGAGCATCACAGCACTCAAGCCTACAGATCATGAATATATGGATGAATATTGACTCACACATTTGCCTTTCTACACCTCTGTTCCCGTAACTTCCCCTGCGCCCCAAAGCCAGCACATCCTCCCTCGTGGGGTCTCCAAGCCCTCAGCACCCTCCACCTGTGTGCTCCTCCCGGCCCCCCAGCAGCTCAGCCCTGGGCAGCACACGGCCACCAGCATCTCCCACTGTCCTCTCAGGAACATCTCAGCATGGAGGCAGAAAGCAGACAGGCCAGACAGTGCCGGGCACAAAAGGGCTCCTTCAGCTGGACTTCAATGAAAAGCCCCAAAAAGGGCAGCCCCTTCCCCAGCTGCAGCGCCTGCTCTGAGAAGCCCTCGTCACTGCTGGGGGGTTGCAGCTGCTGCTGAAACCCTCATGGAGACTTCTTGGAGGGGGCTGAGGCACTGGGCTGCCCAAGGAGTTGTGCACTAAGGCAGCAGGTACCAGGGCTTGCTTTGGGAAGGGAGAGGAGCCTCGCCGTGCCACGCCACGTGTGGCTGTGGAGGAACAACGCCCAGGAGCAGCACGGCTCTGCTGATCCCTGAGCTCCAGGCCACGCTGTTCGTGTCACAGTTCACGTTGCCATTTGTGCCAGGGCTTCAAGAACCTCGATTCAAACTCGTGGCCTCCCTCTTGCTTCTCTAGTAGGGCATGAGCTCAGGTCAGGTCCCGTCCCGAGCCGAGGGCTGAGCCTGCCTTTGGCTCACGTGGAGCTGCGGCCACACAGCCGGGCACCGGGGACACCTGGAGGGGTTGGGCTCGGGGGTGAACCCAGACCTCACCTGAGGCCGTCAGTGCAGACAGACCCAGCTGCTGCACTGCTCTGCTAGCGAGGGCACCAGCTCCACTGCTAAGCCTCCCTGTTTTCCTAATGAACTGTCTTAAGTCAGTCCCTGTTTATACAGCGTCTCTGGATGTTAGCAGTACTTGAATGCCTTCCCTTACTCAGCCATGCTGGGGTTCTCATTTTTTGTTGCAGGTTTGCTTTCTTGGTTTCATGGGTGAATTTCTAGAAAAAGAAAAAGAAAAAGGAAAAGCGGAAGGGAAGGGAAGGGAAGGGAAGGGGGAAAAACAGGGGAAGGAAAAAGAAAAAGCAACTGAAGCAATTGAAGCCAGATTGAATGGCTCTGGCTTTAACAGTCCTAGGCCCTTCCCCTATTTCCCTGACATTCCTCCTTGTGACCCCTTCCAAGTGTTCTGGGCGAGTTTTGCAGGAATGCAGTTACGCTCCGTCTCCGTGAGCACGGCCTGTTATTCGAAAGGAGCTGGCAGAGCCTCCCGGCTTTCACAGCCAGATGTTACGAGTGTGACCCTGCCAGAAGCTGCATGCGTGCACCTTCCCATTCTCAGCCCCTCGCACAGGGGATTTTTTTCTGAAGAATCTGTTCTGGGTAATGCTTTTGTGATTTGCTCTCTTCTTCACTTCTAAGGTCTGCTCCTAGCATCAGTGCTATATAATTTCACAGCCAGAGAAAGCGGGATACATTTTGCTGTGAACTTCTGCAGGAGCAGGACAGCACCGTAACACTGCAGGACAGGACAACAACATGGCAGGACTTTTGGGTCCTGCTCGTGAGTCGGGACTCAAACCGCATTCAGTGTTGTGCATAAAAAATTCAGAACAAAGGAAGATTCCTGCCCATAAAAAGCCTGCAGGTAAGTTTTACATTTCAGGCTAACAATATGGATACCGAGACAAAAGAATGCAAATGAAAAATGAGACAGTACTGGTTAGCATAACACGCAGGGATCGTGCAATAGTAACAGCTTTTCTTCCATCTTCACCTTTTCTCTGCATTCCTCTAGCTTATTAACAGTTATGGTGATACCTACACCAAGACGCAGCCAATTCTTTCCAAGTGCAGTAATAAATCACTACACACCGAATGACAACTCTGTCGTCGTAACTTCGTGTCCCACATGATGCATGCTTACAGATCTAAACAGTCTCAGTTTCAGCCAACCTTCTCCTTTCTCTTCTATTGCTTTTCATAGTTTTGTATTAAATTATACATTTTGCAAGACAAAAACTTTGTCCTTTGTAGCATCACACTGGCTTCCTGACCACTGTTACACTTCGAGGAGCTACTGCCCTAGAACACTTAACACATGCCTCAGAACTAACGACTTGTCACTTCGTTTAATTTATCATGATGTAGCATGGACGTTGTTCCTGTGCCTCAAAATGAGCAGAGGTGAGGGTGGAAACCATGAAGTTTAAATCTCCTACCATTTTATGATCCCAGGAATCAAATGGCAAATTTAACCTTTAAAATAGTATTACAAAAGGAAGTTAAAATAATGGCGTGGCACAGTTCTTAATGTTAAAGTGCTTTCTGTCCCTCCAGTGAAAGGTGTTGCAGAAATGCAGAGCATTATGTTTATTTATTAATAATCCCGCAAAGAAATTTTCATGATCGCCACTGGGGACTGCCTGACAGGTGACACAGGCGACCTCCTGCCAGGAGTGACATCTCTCCCCTATAATTTACATTCTCTAAATGATTTGCGATCAAATTACTTACAGCACAGATTAGCTTCTCCCCCCGCTATTCACTCGCAGCACCACATTCAACTGTTTGTTCCACAGAACCATAAAAATAATAATATGGAAAGTCAGTGCCTCTGCTTCCAGGGTATTCCAACATGGAAACAGCACACTGGCCAGGAGATCGATTCCTGCACTCATTTTCTCAGGCACTGGGATTTGCATCTGGGAGAGATGCAGGTCGTTGGCTTGAAAAGAGCATTCTGAGTTCACATTTTGATTGCACAACCAGATAAACAAATGAAGTGTCCCAATTAGAGGGAAGAAAATAATCAGCCTGCAGTGCGGAGGTGCAGGGACTGAAAGGACTGAGGAACAAACGCGCTTGGAACAGTCAAAGGACAAACCCCAGGTATTTACTGGATGTTAGGGAGACTGTAGCCATCAGTGGCAGGGAACTGGTTAAGAGAATATATTAAAGGTGCAAAGGGTCTCCCGACCTCTGCCACTGTCAGTTCTGTCAATGGGTCTACAGACGCCAGTGGAATAATTATGGCCTATATTTAGATTATGGATGCATCGGGCAGGGTGAAGGTTGAACATGAGGAACATGGTTGTTTGCAGTTCATTAGCGGTGGGAGCAGCCTAGGGTGGGAGGAGGGCACTGAACTGGATTCATCCCACCTGGAGTGCTTGCGCTGAGCTGCATAATGTCAGGGAAAGAGATCTGATTATATGTGGAAACAAAAGCAATAAACAACCGTGTTCGGGTTGTCACACCCGGCGAGCCAAAGAAAGGAAGGAAGGAAAGAGAGGAGAAAGCGAGACAAGCCTCTGGCTCTCGGCCACCTCGTTTCTGTACGAATGAATGCAATGGCCACCGAGAAATCGGCTGGCTGGAAAATGCAGAAGGGACGATGTGAGCCCTGTGAGTGTGGTTTGTGGGGTCTGTGCAAGGTGTCTCTTGCTGAATTCTGAGCTGACCGTACGAACCTGTGCGCCTGGAGCGCTGGGCATCGAGGGGAGGCTGGGCTCCCCAGAGGTGCTGAGGTGTGCTGGACACGTTGGTGCTCAGCAATAACACTTGGGAGGGTTGCACAAGCAGGAGCTAGAGATCAGGGAAAAGGCACAGCCAGCGAGCTTGGAAACACACTCTGTGCAATGACTGGGCAGGAAAACACTGAGGCTGCCACTGAGAAATAATCTTGGTTCTGGCTCCTGGAGAAAAAATAAATAAATGACAAAAGGTAACAGACGCAGAAAGCAAGGAATGCAAACAGCACGGCCATGGCTCATTGCAACACGATGGAGGCCCTCTATCTGAGCCTGCCAACGATGAAGCAAACCTAGGGGAGCTAATACTGCAAATACCACTCAGGTTAGATTATGAGTTTTCCTTTTGCTAACTGCCGGACCTCCAAGCCAGAAGAAATGTGAGCCCCAAATGATTAAAGCTCAAAGCACTCACCCTAGAGCCCACGGTTGTTTGTTTAGGGAAGAGGAACCTGCATGCTCCATGCTCTGCATTTTCCCTGCTGTTCTTGCAGTTCCTTTTTGGCTTGGAAAGCAATCCTGAAAACCTTGAGCTGAAACTTTCCCAATTTTAAACTTATTCTTAGTATTGATGCCATGGCATCAAGGTCTGTTGTGAAACACAGTGCTTTTTTTCTAATTCTTTATTCACATCAGCGTATTGTTTTGTCAAAGTCCTAGGTCTTTCTAAAGAGTCAGCAAACCAGAAGTGAAGTTTTACCCAGGAATGCTGTGTAAAGGTGATGGTCAGGAGCAGGAAAAAAGCTCTGCGATTTCTGTCTGCTGTTTCTACTTCACCCAGAGTACTTCCCGTATGTGAACATTCCTTACTCACCCAGGTTTTGGAGGGGCCAGAAGGAAGATCACTTCTTGTTTTCTGGCGGTGTGTCTGTTGAGGGTGGGGAGCTAACAGAAGCCTCCTCCCTTTGTTATTCCCGTTTTGCAGGCAGCAGCTCAGAGACACTGCAGTGGGAGATCGTTTGCCCAGGGTCGCACAGCAAGTCAGTGGCAAGAAGAAATGAGGCCCCAGAAGGTCAGCTTTCCATTCTAAAGCAGGAAGGAGGAAAAGATTCTGCACAAAGTCACAAATTCCAGCCCAAATCTAAAGCACGTTCTCTTCAAGGGAAGAGAAGAGAGCAGGCATGTTGTATCTAACACCGCTGTGTAGGGCCATGCCAACACTGCAAGTCCTCGGGGTGCCCCTGCACAGGCCCTGACTGCTGCTCTGCTGGAGCAGCCTCTAGGAAACAGCAAGTCAGATAAAGACGAGTTGCAGTGAATGGAAAATGGAAAACAGATGCCATACCATCACGTTATTTCCTCAATGCAAGCTAAAAACAACTGACAGTTTCCCATCATACTGACTACTCAGGGCCCCAGTCAAACGGCTGGCAAAGTTTCTTTACTCCAAAACACTGGGGATAATGAATTCAGAAGTTCTGAACAGCTGCTTTTCATGGATCATTTAGAATTTGCGATGCAAATATGAAAAATCCATCTTAAATGCCCTCAACTAATTGAGTGGAGTACAGTGAATACAAAGGAACAGATCACTGACCTTGGTGAAAACAGCACAAAAGCCTTAATCTGCCCAGAGAGACCCAGAAGGTTACCGAGGAGCAGAAGAGAGCAGAAGCCCGTGTACTCTCACTCGGGTTCCTAATTCTGCTGGCCACGAGGCAGCTACAAGCCTTTCCTGTGGGGCACACGCAGCAGCCCCCAGCGCCCTCCCTTACAAACCACAGCAGTGGAGAAGGAGGTGGGTGGAAGCTGGGCTCCGGCCAGATCGCTGGTGTTGGAGCTGACAATTCAAAGCAGAACTTGACGCTGGGGGCGAAGAGAGAACGGTTACACATACCTCTTAGGAAAGGTGAGAAGATGTTTTCGAATAGCTTCGAACGCACGAGGCAAACGGGGCAGAAGGGCAGGGCTGTGTGGGAGGGGGGCAGGTGGGTATCAGGGCCGTGGATCTGCGGGGCTGCAGCACGGCCGCTCGCACACAGCCGGAGATGGAAGGGGCAGGGCTGGAGAACTGAACGCAAAGGAGAAGTGTGGCTTTCGGGGCTGACGTGGCACAGCCGTTCACCTTGGAAAAACAAGAATGTGTTCGTGTGGCCCAGCTGCACGTTGCAAATCCCCAACGTTTTTCCTTAGCTAGGTGCATGCTCCAAAGGTATTAATTGTTAACCAGCAGCTGCCTGGGCGAGGGGCTGTTAATGCTGCGCGAGGCCGGGCAGATAAGATGTTGCTGTCCCGAGGCTCCCTGTATGGAAAACAGCGGCAAGGTCCAGCAAGTCTCCCCAGTTGTAGTTTTCTAAAATTGGAGCGTCACGTCCGCTGGGCTGCACATACCAGCTCCGGCCCTGTCAGCTGTTGCTCACTTTATCATCGTGTTCCTTCGCGGGGAGCAGAGCGCAGGCTCCCGCGGCCGCGGGCAGCGCCGCACCTTGCCCAGGTTGTGCCGCGAGGAGCAGCAGTGCCAGAGACACCGCAGGCCCGTCTGGTATTTACACCAGCTACTCCCTGTGGGCCTGGACAAGCAAGAAGCTCTCTTTAAAAGCTTGTAATCGTTGGTCGCATTCCAAGAGAGACAAAGGGATGTTGTACAAACAGTTTCGTTTGAGCTTGGTAGAACACTCTGCCAGGGCAGAGGCAGCAGCTTTCCTCTGTGGGGAGGCAGGAGGTGGACGGCTTTGTTTAAATTCACGTTTTTCTCTGTCTGTTTTGACGGCACTCACTCGGATTTACATTTTCTAGAGCGGTTTTCTGCAGAAGCAGGGTTTTGGTGGCATTTCCGAGGCAGCAGCCCTGCTCTGTGCCCGCTCAGGAAGCCGGCGGTGCTGACTCAGCTCCCGGGGAGCCCGCCGAGCATCTCTGTCCTCTGCTGCGAGCAACCACAGAGCACAAGCGTGGCGGTGCCCCTGGTTCAGGCGCTGGGCAGAGAGAGGCAGGAAGGAAACGGAGGCACCACAGCGGTGTCACCGTTTGTCAGAAACGAGAGCAAAGAGATGAGACCCAAGCGTCAGGGAGAGAACCAGGCTCACGGTCAGGTGCTGTGCGAGAGGCCTGGGAAAACACTCTGCTCGTGCTCCGCTCGTTTCAGCTGAGGTCTGAATGCCCAGAAAGGGGCTGGAAGGTTGCCAAGACAACAGCGTTTTGAAAACCGCAGCGTGCAGGTTTGGACGGGGCCGGGGAACGTACTCGAGCTCTTGTGCAGTATCTGGAGCCACGAGCCAGCAAGAGAACGCGCCCGGCCGGTAATACCCAGCGGGAACCGGCGCAGCCGTCACAAACTCCTATTATGCCTTTTACTCAGCGCGATCCACATGGTTTTCATTAGGTCCAAATTGTAAAAGAAAATATATACATATTAAATAAAAATACCAGAGTTCTGCGAACGTGTGTTTGGCAGTTTGCGTTCAGGTTACAAATGCTCACACTGTGTGTTTGAGCAAAAAGCTGTTTTACAGGGCTGTGATCTGCAGGCGAGTAACGAGAGGCGTGCCATGTTCTCAGACATGGTTTTGGCCCACACGTCCTCAAAAAGCAAATAAACAAAAGCGAGTAAACCAAATCGTCCTGCACGTCAACAGCTCGGTCGGTTTGGGAAGATTAGTGCCTGGGAACAAAGGGGTTTATGGATCAGAGCCCTCTCTGGTTTTCTGCACGCTGTGAGCCCGGCTCCCTAACGACGCAGGACCCCTGCGTTCACCGCGTCCATCTGTCACCCCCACCCCTCCAGCTCCTCTCCTGCTCACTCGCCGGCCAGTGAAACAATTTTGTGTCATTTGGCAGACACCCCGGTGCCCCATCACCGTGACTGCGGCTCACACCGACGGGGGCTGGATGTGAAATCCTGCGGCCCCCCTCCTGCTGCGCTGTGCACGGGGTTGTGCCGCTGAGAAACCTGTGAGAACAAGCAGAAACTGCTGGGCAGCACCGTCAGCCGAGGCAGCATTTACACCATAAAAGTACGCTGCGCTGGTGAAACACGTACAGAAGGAAGCAGCCTCTGAGAACGGGTTGTTTTATGAGGGGCTGACTTCAAAATGAGTCATTTAGCACAGAGCAGCAATTGTGACTTTATTAAAAATCACCATGCTCTGGAGTGAACTCCTTGGCTCGCTGCGTGTCCTGCCAGCTCCATCAGAAAATAGGTCCTGCCTAATTCCCATGGAAAAGCCCTGGAGCGGCTCCCAGCCCCATCGCGCTCCCTGGGGACGCCGCTGGCACCCCGGCCGTGTGCTCGCTTCCTGCCTGCTCAGGGCCAGAGCCCGCAGCCCTCAGCCCTCAGCCCTGAGCCCTCCGTTCTCCGTTCACAACTTCTGCAGCTTTTGTAACAACTCCCCGCTGTTATTCTCGTTCCCGTGCATCCAGCAGGTACATTTGGTGCAGTGCTCAGGCGCTGTGAAGTTAATTAAATTAAGCCAAAATGCTCACGTGAGATGAAAATGGGACCCCTCGCAGCAGACCTGCAAACTGCAGCAGCTGCCCTGCCCCTGCCAAGGAGCAGGTAGCGACAGCTCCTGCACGGGCAGGACGCTGGGGAGGAAGAGCACAAAGCCAAGGAACAGCAAGTGTGGGAAACACAGGGCTCCTCGTGCTGGGTTCCAGAGCCCTTCCTGGGATCCAACAAACGCAGATATAAAACAGATCGTCTGCTAGATATTTTACCTTGTAAGTGTACGGACTCTGCACGGTGAATTTAAAACTCTGCGCTGAACTCCTTTCTTCTCTCCCCTTGAAAACAGGTTTTAGGGATGGAAATACTGATCTAAACTAAATCCCAGGAGCCTGACAATTCTTCTGCAGAACTTCCCTGAGACCCTGGGACGCTGCCAGCTTTATGTGATGGAAAGGAAGACTGCCAGGTCACAGGGCATGCCACAGATGGGATCTGACTTCTAAGCAGTTGTTTAATTTAGGCCTGGAACACGATTTATGGGAGTCTATCTGAAATCACGGAGAAAAGAAGGCACAGAGCTGGAGGGTAGAAGCAGGTACGTGTGAATTCACATGAGACAAACTGTCTGTGGGGCGAATATTCCTGCGAGGCTCCGAGTTTCCATCTCTGTTTTAAGGAGGGGGAAGCTGACTCTTCAAGTGAAAAAATGCCTCTAACAGTGAATAGCAGCAGGGGCAAGAATGCGACCACACCGGCCCTGCCGCCCAGCTTTATGGGTTCCTGCTCCCTGCACTCCCCTGCAGGAAGGACGTGTGGGAAGGCAGGAGTTTGGTGTCACTTCCCTGCTGCCCCGAGCCCAATGCACACAGGACAGGACGAGTACCAGGGGTACGGCGCCTTCGTGCACCACCCCCGGGCTCTGTGCCCCCAGCCCAGCGCAAGGCGTGGGCATTTCGGTCACGTTCCCGGGGGGTTCCCCAGCCAGCTCCACGGCATTTTGTGTTGCTCCTACTGTGCAGCACCTGGCCCCGAACCCGGCTGGCCCTCCCGAGCACTTGTCGTTTTCTCTCTTCCCTCTCCTCCCCTCTTAAAAAGAGAAAGAAAACAAAACCATTTCCCCACAGGCTGCAGACACAAGTGAGATGCAGGTGCAGGCTGCACAAAGCTAATGAGTTCAAATCCCAGCGCCCCGCACACCCTCACGGAGGAGCTGCCCGGCCCTTTGAAGGGCAGGAATGAAAGGAGCAGGGGCGCAGGGTGCACCTCGAGATGTGGGGCTGCTCCCCCAGCCCGGCCCGCAGGCGGCCATGGGACAGACAGACGGACAGACGGACAGACGGCTGGACTCGATGCCTGCCCCTGACTGCCACCGTGCCTCCCAGCAGCACCCTTCCTGGTGCTGAGCACTGTGCCTGCTTCTCGTGGGCTCCTGGGTGCTTTCCAAACCAAGACCCACTCAGACCTCCCCGTGAAAGAGGTGCAAGGAGCGGCTGCAGGCAGAGAGCAGGACAGCCGGCGCCTCTCCTGGCTGGGTTCAAACCACCACGGAGCCCCACAGCTCACCCCATCCCATGGGGAAACCACCTCTACTGGGTCCTGGCAGCGATGTGTCATAACCACCACAACGCCTTGTAGGTCAGGGGGAGGAGAAACGTGTTCCTCAGCCTTAGCCAGTCTCTTCCTGAACAGTCCCTGGCTTTTCTGCTGGCAGTTCAGGTTCCTGTGGTTATTTTGCCTCTTTGCTACACACGGGGACAGAGGGGAGCTGCCTCCTTCCCGGCTGAGCTGAATCCTGCTTGGGCCACAGAAACTCAGCGCTGGGGTGGGGACACGCAGTCCATGCAGCCACCGAGGGGCAGGTTCCCAGGGCTGGACACCTCTCCTTGGCTTTCTGGAGCAGCCGGGCGGGCAGGACCAGCAGCTTCCCCAGGGCTGCTGTGGCTGCTGGGCTGTCTGGTCAGCAGGGAACGCTGAGGGCACGATGGGTGCGACCCAAACGCGGGGCATGTGGAGTGCTGGGGTGCACAAAGCTCCCGGCCCCAAGGCTGAACCCACCCATGCTGCAAATGAGCACAACTCACAGCACGGCCCCAGCAGCCGGCACAGGACCCGGCTGCTGCTCCAGCCGGCGTGCCCGAGTTCCCCTGGTTGGTTTCAGACCTTCAGCAGGGCACTTCCACGGCTCCCGGTTCGCACCAGTGGGAACGGGATGGTCCCAGCCCCTCCTCCCAGAAGCCTGGCTGGGGTTCCTCGCATTTCTTCCTTGCGGAAAGCACTGAGAGTCAATTTTTTCCCTGTTAAATCATCTGATGTTTTTGGCTCCCCTTCCGATAGGAATTCTTTCTTTCTTTTGCATTAATTTTGCCCGGTTCCAGCACTGACCCATGTTTATGAAAGGGGCTTATGAGCTGTAATGTTAACTAGCCTCAGTTTGCTGATTCAGCAGCAGAATAAATAGGTAATTACACTCTGCCATATGTGTCTCTAATTCCAAATAGATGGTGTCCAAAAGGCGCTGCGCATTACCAGCGGATGACTGGAGTTGGGACTGTAAAAATGAGTAAATTGGTCCCCAAGGCCAGAAAAAGCTCTGTCAAATCCCACTGTTTATATCATACTGAGTGGCTGACTTGTGGTTATTTTGTAATTTAATACTGCTAAATGTCAACGGGAAATCCTTTCAACTACAGTTTGATACCTAGTGACAGAAAATCATTCAAGACTTAGACAAAGCCGCTAGCTCGGAGAGGTGCGTTTTTGCCTTTTTTAATCTTCGCGCACGGAGCGAGCGGGCGGCAGCTGCCCTGCCCCGGAGGCGAGGCGAGGCGAGGAGCTGCTGGCGGTGCTGGTGCTGCTGCCCCACGGCCCCAGCCCGGAGCCACCCCGGCCTCGCCGTGCCGCTCACCCCGCGCAGCCGTGTGCGAGAGCGGCGCTGCGGCCGTGGGTTTGTGCGCGAGGAAGCGGAGCCCAGCGTGGCCGCGTTCCCCAGGCGCTGCCTGTGAACATCCGCACGCTGATGCACACGCGAGGCTGCGCTGAGCGGCGAGCTGCAGAGCCCACAAAGGGCTCGAGGTAGGTGTCTCTCAAATGACAGCCCGAATCTCCTTCGCTGCCTCCAGTAGCTGCCTCTACACGCGCCCCGGGCAGGGCACCGCAGGCTGCAGCCTCGCCAGCCAGGGAGCTGCTGGAAGGAGAGCCGGGAGCCGTCGGGATTTTGGGCTGAGCTGTCACTCCTGGTGCTCTCCGACCACCACCCACCCTCTGCAGCAGGGACGGAGGGACAGCCGCCCAGCTCTGGGAGCAGAGCGTCACGGTGCTGCCTGTGGCGAGGAGAAAGGAACAGGTCGGAGCTGACAGCACGCGGTGTGGAGACCTGCAGTGAGCAGGACCCCGTGCCCAGCCCTCGCCACGGCAGGCACCAGGGTGTGCGGCACAGGAGGCACTGACCTGAGCTGGCCCAAGCAGAGGGAAGAGCTTCTCCTTCTCCGTGTGCAAGCACGGAGCTCTGCCCGGTGCAGGCTCGCAGCTCTTTGTGCCGGGTGGCAGCAGCCACGTGTCCCAGGGCTGCTGTCCAAGCAGGGCCTGTCGCACCTGACGTGCTCGGCTCGGGCTGTCTGCAGCAGATCTCCCGTCTCGAGGGGCCCCGCGGAATAATTAGAGGTCTGAGAGCTGGACAAAGCCCGTCTGCTGGACAGGGTAATTTACAAACGCTCTGACTGTCCACATCGCTAAGCCAAAGGGGAAGCTTAATTAGAGGCACGGGAGAAATTCATCTGGGAGGAAATTAGGGCAGAGAAGCCCCCCGGCCCCGGAGCCAGAAGGACGCCCCCATCCCACCTGCCCCTCGGGCCGGGCAGTGGGGGTTTGCTGGGAGCACAGGGCTCGTCCCGGCCCCAGAGCCACCGCCTGCTCCCTGCCCGCGCTCCCTCCTGCCCTGCCAGCTCCACGAGGTGCCCGTAGTGGCTCGAGCATCTCTCCCGGGCTGCGTGGCCCAGCCTTATGTCTGCAGTTGGCAGCTCGGGCTAATGGGGTCTGCGGGGAAGCTGTTTCACACTCAGTTCCTGTGTTATACATGGCTGGCTGCAAAGGGGGGGAGCTGCACAAGCTGCTCAGGCAATATGTCTGCACAGATCCCACAGGATCCTGTCTGCTGCTCTCCGGCGATCCCCTAGGATCCAGTCTGCTTGCTCAGGGTTAGGCCAGAGGCTTCTAGAAAATGATGGCCAAGCAGCTCGAGGCTTCCTCAGCTGGGCTGGGGCAAGAGCAGAGTCAGAGCAGGCTCCACGCAGCATCAAGGCAGTGGGCACAGGCGTAAATTCAGAGCAGGCAGGAGCCTGCCCCGACACCAGGAGTGCGAGCATCTTGTGCCAGAGCTGCTGGGTCTGTGCCGATACCACAAGGAAGTGCTTCAAAGGTTTGTTACTTGCAAACTCCCCCAAAGTCTGGGGAAGACCTCGTATTTAGGAGACAATGTTCTTCTCTTGGGATCCCCTCTTGCTGCCTGGGGGATGGAGCTGGTTTGTGGCTAAGGGAGATGAAGCTTGGGGCACACAGAGTCCCAGATCTGCTCCACCAATTTGCTCTGGGGCTTTGAACAAATCCTTTTTGGCCCAGCTTCTCACAGGCACCTGACAGAGACAGGAGCCAGCATCTAAACGAGCTCTTTGTCTCGGTATCTTACTTTCCCCATTGGTAAGCTGGGACAATTCTCTCTCACCACTTCCTCGGGGTGGTTTTGGTCATCACTCACATGTCTGAAGCACGGCGAGATTTGCAGATGAAAGAAATATGGTGCTGCAATGGTGCTGCACGACTGTCTGCTGGACTTGGGCACTCAGCCCCCGCCCTGCCTCCAGACGCAGCGGCTCCTGGCTCCCTGCAGCGCTGGCGAAGCAGCCGGAGCTCCGAGGGGCAGCCGGTGACACCCAGCTGCAATGGGCAGGGAGGCTGCTGCCATCCCGGCAGCCGCAGTCCCACCGTGAACATCTGCATCTCTGCAGCACTGCTCAGGGCTGTCAGTGCCATCCTGGAGCCCCGGGGGAGTTTCCCTCCCACCTACAGGTTCCTGCCGCGCTGCGGAGGGAGGCGAGGTTTGTTTCCTTCCCGACCCTAACCTGCCCCTCGCTCTTCTGCTGAACAGATCCGGCAGGGCTTGCAGCTCCCCTGGTTCCCCGGACGGGTAATTCAAGCTGTGAGTCCCCTGCTCTGCTTTTCTAACTACAAAAACCCAGGAACTGTAACCAGGGAAATAAAGGCAATTCACTGGCATGGGTGAGCCTTGCTAAGCCCCGTGCCAGCCCCGCACACAGAGGATGGAGTCGTGCTCAGGATGATCTGGGAGCTGCAGCACCCCTTCAGCGTGCTGACTGCACCTCTCACACCCACAGCTCTGTGGGGCCAGGCTGGGAACGATGGCTGCTCCAGATAACAGACCGACACCCACTCAAAAAGCAGGAGCTGCCCTGGCTCACAGCGGCAAAGTCAAAGATTTCTATGGCCGGCCACGCTGCTCAGGGCAGGACCAGCTCCCGCACAGCCCAGCAGCAGCTCCCGCAGCTTCTACCTGCAGCCAGGGAGGCACAGGAGGAGCGTGGGCTGTCCCCAGCCAGCAGAGATTGCTGCTCATGTGAGCTTCCCTTCCCCATGGCCTCCTTTGGCCCAGAACCCAGATTCCACAGCACCCACACTGCTGCATCTTCAGGCTCTGCTCTGCCGGCAGCTGCTGGGATGCCTGCTGCACGCACACAGCCCCTGTGAGCGGAGATAAGGCTGGTGGAACTGAGATACGGCGTGCAGGGGATTTCCTAGCTTGTGGCAGCATCTCAGATTTCTACTTTTGAGATCAGCAGAGGGAAAAGTCTAGTTTGCACAACAGCCCCTGTAAAGCGGGGCAGCCACAGCTTGGCAGCAGAAGCAGCTTCGTTCTGATGCTCCCGAAGCCAAACGAACCCCGGGACCGCGTCCCTGCAAGGCCCCCTGCAGCCACGGAGGGGCTGGGAGGCTGCGGGGGGCTCCCAAAGATGCCCAGTGCCATCGGCAGCAGCGAGGTCTCTGGGCTGGCCGTACCCCCTGCCTGCCATCCGTTCTGCCCCACATCCCCGAGCCTCGTGCCAAGGGCTGTCTGTCCCCTGTGGCAGGGAGACACGGCTATGGGGACACCCGGGCACCGTGGCGCTGACCCTTCACACCGGGCACGGCGAGCAAAGGGGTCGCTGGCAGGTAGGAGCAGGGCTGTGACCAAGCGGGGACAAACGCGGAGCGCTGCGTGCCGGGGGCTCGGCGAGGGGCTGCGCGTTGGCACGCCAGGCCTGCCGTGTCCCCCCCGCCTGCGGGGACACCTGCCAAGCCCTTCCGCTCCGGCTGGGAGAGATTAAAGGATGGAGTGGCTGGCGGTTCAGGCTCGGTTCATTAGAAAGAATCCCGTTAATTGGGTATTAGCTGGCCTCTGCTGGGGATCGGGGACACATGGGCTGGGAATACAGGAGCGGCGGTGTGACGCTTGTCAGACATTTGAACTTTGGCAGGCTGGGGTGGCTGGCATGGGGCGGGCAGGGCAGCCCTCAGCTGCCATGTCAGGCCGTGCCCCTCGGAGATTCGGGGCTGCTATTGTCTTGGCCAGACTAATCCCCCTTGCTGGGATGCTGGTCTGGTTCTCCTCCCCGTCCCAGATTGTGTGTCACACCTCCTGGGCTTTGCTCCGTTTAAAAATACATGTTTGGGGCTTAATCTGTGCTGCTGCAGGGCACAAAGACCGGGCTGGCCCCGGGATCACCTGACATCGAGTCCTGAAACAAAGCCCTTAGGGCAGAGTCCTCATACTCTGGCACTAAAGTCTCAATTCCTGTCGCCTGGAAACATAACAGGATTGTCTCCGTTTAGCGGGATTATGTCTGAAAAAGCCTTTTGTTACTGCCACTCTGCTCCGGGGCTGACAGCTGAACCGAACCAGATGGGAGTCCCCTGGTCAGAGCGAGGAGATGGCGCGGGGCTGACCCCGGACACGTCGCCTCCTTGCCCTACACTTGGCCTCTCCTCCCGGGGCCGAGGGGATGGAGAGGCCTTCGGAGACCAAACGCCTTTTGCCCTGGACATGCCAGCGAGCCGTGAGCGGCCAGAGGAGGGGCAGGGGTTGTGGCCACTTTTGTCCCTCCTTGACCTGCAAGCGAGCCTCGTGCGTACTTGGAGCATGCTGGGGGCTGCGCGTGTGATGAGCGGCGATGCAGCAGGTCGTGGCTGTAGGGCTGTGGGGACGGGTGGCACGGCACAGCCAGCACGGCACAGCCAGCACGGAGCTGCCCGCGGCCACCCCAGCTCCACAGCCCCGAGGACGCTGCCGGAGGTGCTCGCAGCCAGCGCTGCCCCGGCCGCTCCCCTGGCACTCGCGCGGCGGCGGCGGCGGAGCCGCTCTACCTTGAAGGCACGAGGCATGCTGTATGCAGCGAGAAGGCTTGCCTAATTAACTCCGATTGTATATGACATTGTCATGTTGATTTACTAAATATACGCGGGAAATCTCTTTATTTCACCAGCTGATTGGTGACATAATCTGGGGCTGTAAGGAGCAGCCTTGACACCAATTCCCTCTGGTTATGTTACCTGTCTTTTCCACCTGCAATCGCATCAATGAAGCCCACAAGGAACTTCAATAACTAATTTATTCATTTTGCTTCTGATTTATAGTAAAAAGGAAAGGATGTCAGGATACACTTGTCTAGAATGACAATCAAGCCCAGAACCCTTCCAAGCTCGCGCCTTCTCAAGAAGCAGAAGGCTTCACCTCAGCAGCGTGTGCACTGTGCGGGTTGCAATTACCAACCACTTCTGTGTTTCCGTAGGCTCTCACCAGCTGGGAGAAAGTTTCCAGATAACACACGCCTGGAAAAGTCAATTACCTTGCTCCCTTCCCCGCTGCAGACATGGGCACCCCTGACTGACACACGGCTTCTCTGTTGTGCTTCTCATGCGCCCACTTGCCCCAGAATACCCACCCTGCGCTCACCAGGCGGTGCTCAGGACGTTTCCTCCACTGCCCCGTGGGGGAAAGGGCACCACGAGCCCTGGGATCACCTGTGTGAGCAGCAGGCACACACCAGAGGCTCAGGTTGGTACAAGTAAATCCGCAGCTGATGGTGGATGAGTCCCAGTGCCACTGCTGTATGGCCCAAGGAGCTTCCACATTATTCGACCTTCCTTGCACTGAAATACAGGTTTTAAATCTCCCATTGGCATCAAAAGAAAATGGACTCCACAATAGCTCTGCAAATATCCTAAAAATTCTCCCATCTTGTGTGACTTGGGATAGTGTTAGAAGTTTGATCTGACCATGCACCAGAAGGCCAAGACTTTGCTCCACAGATGGAGAGAAGAGACATAATTATCGACCTGTGCAGAGGCACAATGAACCCTCCCTCAGAGGAGAACACAGCCCTATGTGGTCCGTCAGATGGCACTGCTGCAAGCGCCCCACCGGCACCGCTCCTCCTGCCCCAGACCTGCAGGACACCAGCCCAGGCCACCACAGCGGCATTCCCCATTGCCCACAACCCTGACTGGCATTGTTCCCCAAAACTGGAGCTTTTTCTAAGGGCTGGAGCAGGATTCCCAGGGACACGCCGTGGAAGGGGCTTTGTGCTGGCAGAGGCGCCCTGGGACGCTGTGAGTGCCTCCTTCAGCACCTCTCCCAGCTGCCCCAATTCCTTCCCGAGTAAACGCCCGCAACAACAACAGCCACAGCCCGAACCCACTTCCTCCTGCTCGTGGACTGTCCTCATCACCGCAGCGCTCCTCATCGCAGTGAAACCAGAGCCTCATTTGGCAGAGCGATGAGGGGAGCGGGGCTGGCTGCTCAAAGGGATGTGCAGATCCTCTGTGTCAGGCGCGGAGCCGGGCTCAGCACGGCGGAGGCAGGGGACAGGGGAACACGCGGCCCCATTGGACGAGAGCCTAGTTAAGATCCGTCTGTGTCAGCCCAAAGCTTAATCTGGATTGATGCAAACTGCAGAAAGTATCATTAGAGACTGTCTGGGGAAGTCAGAGAGCTTCTCTGCTCCCTTCTTGTCTTCCCCAATAATAGAGATATTTCTGTTTACAAAGGTGGACTTGATCCGCAGCATTTCCTCTGTAGATCTCCGGTATTTGCATGTGTCACCCTGTTTTCCCTGGCTCATTAATCACTCACTGTGCTTGTCAAATTGGAGCAGTGCCTGCTGTGCTCCCGCAACCTGCTCTGGGGGCCCCAGGCTGTTCCTAGCGCTCCTCTGCAGCTCGGTGGCACTTCAGAAGGCAGCCACCCGCCGCGTGCCCCCACGCTCGCACCCCGAGAGCCCCGCGGCGGGCGGGAGCGGCGCTCCTGGAGGCTGCTTGGCAGGGAGAGAAGCTCAGGGCTGCTTGTTTGCTGCAGAGCAAAATCCTGTCCCTAAATCCCAAATAAAACAGCCTTCATCATCCCTGGGGGCAGCGTGGTGTCTCTCATGCTCCGGGACACAAACCTGTGCCTGGCCTCTGCTGTGCCCAGCGCGCAGCGAGCCCAGGGCCCTGCTCCCAGCACCGAGCCCACGAGGGGCCGAGCAGTGCTGCCCCCAGCTACCTGCTGTGGTGCACGGTCCCAGACCTCAGCCCTCTCCCTCTTCCCTCACATCCTCACTGCTTGGTTTGTTTTCTTCCTGTTCAAAAACAAGAAGAAAAAAAGGAAAAAAAAAAGGCATTTTGGTATGTGGCATCATGTTCGCTGTCTTTAGGGGCCACCAGGATCGGGCTGGGGCCAAGCTCTGCCTTCCAGGTTTTCTCCCCAGGCAGCTCACCCGCAGAGCCGCACTCGCTCCTGGTTTTTCTTGCCCTGGTAGCAAGGGCTTTACAGCACAGTCCCTGGTTTTGATACAAGGTGAAAGCACTAGGTGAAAGCACGCCTTGCCTGGCCACCAGGGTACTGGGAGAACAGGGGAGAGAAGAGGGACGTGAGCCCAGAACAAAGGTGTTCAGAGCAGGGACAGCCCGGCCGGGAAAGCCAGGTCTGGGCACAGCTTGACCACGTCCCCGGGCACCGGGCTGCAGGGAAGGGGAGCTCCAGCTGGTTAGGAGCGAGGCCATCTCCTCTTCCTGCCTTCCCCAGCAGCCGGTGGATGCGGCTCCAGGAGCTGCTCCCCTTCTCCTTCCCTCCCGTTTCTAATGGCTGGTCTCTGTGAGTGCAACGAGGAGCCGAGGCCTGGTAGGGCTGGGGAAATTCAATATTGCTGAAACCAGGACAGGAAACAGCGCTGTGTGCCTGCAGTCACAGCTCCGCATTAAGTAATTTGTGTTAAGCTGGAGATGACACAATGAAATGCTGAAATTTCCTTGTCTGTCCCAGCATGCAGGGCTGTGTGGACTTCAAAGGTTGGGTTTGGAAATTGCAGGTATTTGTAGGGCGCCCACCCCTTGTCACAAGCTCTGACACACATTGAGGCATTTACCAAAGCTGACCCACTGGGGAGGGAGCAGGGCCGAGGGAGGCCCAGTCTCAGGGCTGCATGCAGGCAATGCTGGGGACAGCGGATGTTTCCCCATAAATCACTGAGGAGGAAAATCCCACAGGTTCCAGGTAGCTCGTTTCATCTGAAGATTTTTACCCAAAACGTCCCTGAGCTTCCTGGTGTGCGGAGCTCGGCGAGGCCGGTGTCCCAGGAGATTCCCAGTTCCTAGACCATTCCTGCCTATTTTTAGTCACGTCAGAAATACCCCAGCGGCAGTGCCCCTCGCTGCCTGCCGTCCGCACACCCCGAGGGCAGCTGGGCTCTGGCCGAGGAGTGGAAAAAGTTCGCTCTGCCTCGTCTCCAGTTGCAGCAGGGAGCGGAGGGTTCCAGGAGCAGCGCGGGGCTGGGGGTCTGCCCACGCTGTCCCCTTGGCTCTGCTGGCACCAAGGCCTGCACAGCAGGGCAGAAGCCACGTACCTGCTTGTGGTACGGCCGTGGCCGTGGATCAGAGCCCAGAGGCTCCTGCTTTATCTCCCTGCTCTGACTTTCCACCAGTGAGAATCAGTGCGACAGGCAGCCTGAAGCCGAAGCTCAATGTGAAGTTACACTTCAGGTCCTATCTGAGTGTTGAAATGAAGCTGTGGAAGCCTCTATTGGAATCCTATTAATTGCTATTACGTTTCCCAAATATGTTAATAGCAAGTTATTGATATGAGTGCTCAGCAGCCAGCAATGGGAAGGGCAAACCAAGACCCTGGAGAGCTAGGAAGGTAATGCCAGAGCCATTTCGTGCCACAGCCACTCTGATACAAGCAATCACAGGGAAGTATCTCGTGGTTTCCATATGACGAGTCGCAGCAGGAACACACAAATCCCTCGTTGTTATCCGTGGCACTGAGCTGCCACAGCCCGGGATGCAGCAGTGCGGGTAGAGGGATGGCAGCGAGCTGCTGTGGGAAGTCCCGAACAGCCAAACCCTGACCCTCACCACGCACGGCACGGACACAGCCCGACTCTTGCAGCATCGCAGAGCGTCCCCGCAGCTTCCTCGGTGGTGTTCTGCTATTTCTGCAGACTTCTGCTCAGCTGCACACCGCCGAGGTAGAAGCCACGCCATTTCCACAGCCTCGTGGGAAGTCTTTGCTGCTGTTAATTACGAAATTGCAACAGGAGCCCTGAAAATAGAGTTCTCATGCCTGTGAAATCAAGGAGAGGGCCAAACGAGCAGCACTTCTCCCCTCACTAACTCACTTAATGATGTGCTTGAATTTAAGCTACTGCTTAGGCCTTTTGCTGAAGCATTATGCTGCGCTGGGACGTGCAGTGCTTGATTTTTCCTTCATGTGAGGCTCACGTGTCTCAGTGGCTGGACGGTGCAGCACCAAGCCACTGGTGTGCTCCGGAGGACACACACACAGCTTGCTCTTTGTACTGCTTAGGAGTGGACTCCGGGAACTTCTGCCTCATTGCTTCGTCTCACCCTCAGAAGCCTTGCACAGAATCCCTGAATTTCACAGTTTTCTTTTCCTTATCTGGGTATTTATGGCTCCAGCTCTGTTCTCCATCTTCTCCCACCTTATCTTCAGGTCAGTTTGCTCCTTGTCCTCATGTGAATGAAATCTCACATATGGTGTTGTGTAGCAATTAGCAGATACCTTTTCTTTTAACCCTTCTGTCATTTCTTCTGCTGCATTTTCACACATGGAGATACACACACACATTTCCATTCATATTCCATTCATACCAAACCAAGTGTTTCTATTAAACCTCTCTGCGGACACAGGAAGGCCAGACCTACCCCCACTGCTGGATGGCAATTAAACAATTCACTTTCCTCTAAACTTTCCTCCAGTCTACTGTAATCTTTATCAAGACAATCAAGCCAACCCAAAGCAAATTAATATAGATATGCCTGCTCAAAGCAAATAATCATTAGAGCAATCTCTCTGGCCGGGGAGGGCTTAGTTCTCATCTTTTCTTACTGTTTACAGAGTCCCTGGCAAGGAAAGGACACGTTTCATTTTCTCCACTTCAGTGGGGTGATCTAATGGGCTGGAGTGGACTGAGCTCTGGAGCATGGTGCAGCAGCCATTAGACGACGCAGGGACGAGACAAATCAGCCCTTTGTAGCTTCAGGTCCTCCAAGTCGCCTGTGGGACTGAGCTAACCAAGAATCAGCAGAACAGAAAACCGAGCGCTCGGCCCCTGCATGACTCGCGCTGCTTTCCCCGGGCCAGGTCGCCTCCCGCAAGGCAGCCAGAGGGGCACGGGAGGAGCTGCGGTGGCACGGAGCTGCAATTAGGGAGGCTTTGCAGGGAGGGGAGCAGGGAAGGGGGTTCCACATCACATCCTACAGGGAAGCAGTCTGAGGAGCAGTGAGGGCCCTGTGGTGCCGCTCCCAGGCACAGGGCTGCGTCTGCAGCTTCGAGAGGTGGCCCCGTCCCCCCCGAATATTCACCAGGGCAGTGCAACCCCCTGTGTCTCATCCCCGTGGGGCAGCAGGGTGCTTATTTGACTCTTCTAGGAGCATTCCTTGTTATAAATCATCAAGAGGAGAAAATGTCAAGACCCTAGAGGCAGCATCACTCACGAGCCCAGCTTGTACTTCCCCACATGGGGACTTGGACCAGAAGTGCCCACAGCTCCCCCGGGCAGGGCACCAGGAACAAGCCCGTGGCACTGCTCTCACTGCTCACCCCTGAAAGCTGAGCTTCTGCCTGGAGTACCTGTGAACATACAGCGTCGGAGTCTGAAGCAGTTGTTGTAGAACAGAAGTGAAAGTCGTGCTCCGACACACCACCTTGTTCCTGGAACAGGCACAGAAGCTAAATTAGCTGTAGCGATTAGTCACTGCTCTGACCTCGTGCTTGGGCCAGCGGGGAGTCACGGGGCTGAAGCGATGCCATTTCCTTTGAAAAATGATTCAAAAGTCTTATGCACACCCCGCTTCCCAGCCAGATGTTGTGTCTCCCAATTCCACCCTGATATTTCTTACTGGTAGTCAAATATTACATCCCTTTGAAGTGCCTGTTGGGTCACCTGTCCCGGCTTGCCAGAGGGTTCTGCTCCTGTGTTTTCCCCACATCTCCTTCTACAACCTGGCCCCGTTCCCCTGCCCCTGCTGTGGAAATGACAGCGCCGGCCCTGCTGCAACGTGAACGAGGAGGAGTTGCTCCACTAAGGGAAAGAAAACATTGCCAGATGAAGATCCAAGGCGGACCAGCCAGGGCGTCCTGGAAGAGAGTCCGAAGGCCTGCGCTGCATTTGTTGCTACTGTACGTACGCCTGTGCCCCTGGGTGTGCGGACACCCAGACAGGACAAGGCAGCTCTGCTTTTCCCACCGTTTGCACCCTTCCGGCTCAGCACCACGGCTGGATTCAGACAGATCCACCCTGCAGGCGTCTCCCACCTCCCGGGCACAGCGCGGGGAGCAGCTTACAGGCAAGTGCCCTGCAGGGTGACCCTCTGAGAGGCATTTACTGCTAGTGGGGGAAGGCAGGGGGAGAATAAACACGCGTTTTTCAAAAGCCAGTGTAAAAATGGTGTGGAATTAAGCTAGCAGAACAGAAATTACAGCTGGACCCACGATCCAGGCTGAATAACGGAACAGCTGGAGGCCTTGTCCTTGAGGTGCCAGGGGGTGGCTGGTTGCTCAGATAGCTATTTACCACCAGCACATTTCCAGATCCATTGGAAAGTCCTGCTACAGTTTCAAAACAATGGTCCCCTCTCCTTACACCAAAATTACAAAAAAAAAATAAGAAATAGGCTGATAAAATACAGAGTAGCCTCACAAGCAATTGGAGGTATGGCAGCTCCTACCCACTGGGTATAATTTTTAACAACCCAAACCAGCTCCAGAATAAAGCACAGAAAATGTCAGCCCTTTGTATGAAAGGGCTTTTGAAAAGCCAAGCTGATTCCAATTTGCCGGAGGCTTTAAGACAGCATATGTCACAGTGCCTGGGAACTGAGAGCCTGCGAGCTGGCTCCAATGTGCCGGATAATGGAGCCGCTACTGCGAGTCCAGCGCGCTCCGGCTGCCACCCTGCTCCTGGTAGCAGTTTCCAGCATGCTGGCACTCGGTCCAGGCCACCTGCAAGCCAGATCTGGTCTGTCGGAGGAAACTGGGACCTATTTTAGTAGCCCAGCTGCAGCTCAGCTCATTTGCAAGAGGCAGCCTGCCACATCAGAACTCCTTTAGGAAGCACCAGGAGGCAATCCAATCTGCTGCCTCCCGAAACAAGGAGGGTAGGAGGGTGCATCTCAGGCCCTGCTTAGATGGCGAAGAGAGGGGATTGCTGCTGGAGGCAGGAGGAGCCGAGGGCTGTCTCCTCACCGGACACCCTCTGCTGGGCTCCAGGGAGGAGCTCTGACAGCCCCAGGATTAGGCAGAATCCCCGGGGCCACTGCATTTTGTGCCAGCATCTCACGGAGACTGCCAGGGCCTGGCGCATGGGCGTTTCACTCCATGGCACCGACAAGGGATGCCAGTACCCTCGACAGTCAGCACCCAGCTGAACAAAGAGGCAGAAGGGTCAGGACTGGTCTCTGCAGACCTCATGGAGCAGCAGAGCTGCAGCTTGCCCTGGGTCTTCACCTGGGGCTCTGGCACATGGCGCAGCCCGATGAGCTGCGTGCTCCAGGCAGTGCCTGTGCCATAACACCCAGCTCCCCTCGCTGCCCCGAGGCTCTGCCGCCCGCCTGCCCCAGCCTGGCCCTGCAGCAGCCCATGGGGACGGCCCCGTGCCAGCAGTGCCAGGGCTGGGGCTGTACCCGTGCCCTCGGCCCTGCCCTTGGCTGCAGCGCCCAGGCAGCACAGAGCTGCTGGCACAGCACTGCAGCACTGGGAGCTGTCACAGCACCCGTGGGTGATATCCAGGGAGCATGGAAAAGGCTGAGGCGGAGCAGAATAACCAAGCACTGCCATCTTCTCCCAGGCCTGGCCTTTTATCAGACACAGCTTCCTTCTCTTTAGTCATCCATTCCTGTTCTCCTGCCAGAACGCAAGCTCAGACCTAACACGCAGGGATGACTGCGATGGCATCGCTCCCATGCTCACACCACCCCTGTATCCTCTTTCTTGCTCTGGCTGGAAGGGATTTGCTCAACCTCCTGAGCACAAACAATAAAATTGCCCCTTTGCAGGCAAGTGTCAGCCTCCGGGAAGAGCAGTGCTGTTCACAGCTATTTTTGTTCCAGTAAAAAGGAGTGGAAATAGAAAACAAGAGAGCCGTGTCCTCCAGAGAGGGAATCCGGTCACTCCCACCTCCATCGGCCTCTTCCCTTCGCAGCAGCTCCCGGCCAGGTGGTGTGGACAGGAATGAGTCAGACCCAGGACTGGTCATAAAGCGAGCAGGAAATGAGAAGCATTCTCGGTGCAAAATGTGCTTATCAGAGGGCTGGAATTAAGATGTTCCTTTTCTTAAGGAATGTTTATAATGGAAATGTTCCTGGTGTTTTTTTAAGAAAAAGGCCTAATGTTTCAAATTTTTTGCTTTTATTTTCTCATTACAGAGGAAGGATTTGAAACCACACACAGGCTGTTACTCTTAGGATAAAATGTTCCCCCAGCGTTAGCCTGCAGTGGACATCCCAGCAATGCGAGCCCACTGCAGGAGTGATCACGACCCAGCAAATCCTAATCCACCCCAAAAGAACGTCCCAGGAAGGCAATTAGGGGCTCACAAAGCAGCTTTTGCACCTGACGCCAGGAGTGGCACTGCCCAGGCTGGGCAGTGAGCCGCTGCCCCACGCAGCCCCCGAGCTCCCCCAGCTCCGTCGGCGTGCCGGCAGCTTCCTGTCGCAATCCAGCTGCAGACCGAGGGCTCCTCATTACTACCTCAGCCATTTCAAAGCTTAAATGCAATTATTACGGTCTGATTAGGGACAACAGAGAGAGGCATAATTTGCTGACAGTGATACTCGCAGTAATTAATCTCCCAGATCCTGCCTTACAGGGCCGTGGATGCCTTGACGTGGGTGCTGGGATGTTCCAACCACCGGCGTGCCTTTATCCAGGGTGCCTGGTCCAGATGCCAGCAGGGGCAGAGCACCCAGGGGGGCAGCACCCCCCAGGCAGCTCGGGCAGGCGGCCTCGGCCCTGCACAGGGCCCTGAGCTCAGCAGGTCAGGAGGAAAACCCCGCTTTTAGGTGGCGGAAGGAGCCGTAAAGCCCTCAGAGCCACCACCTCTCACAGCACACATCAGCACTGGAAAACTTCAGCACGGGTCCTAGCCCTGAACAGAAACACCATCACGCCAAGCCCGCAGGCTCTGGGGTTTACCGCAGCGCAAGAGTGGGGAAGTTGCAGCTACAGCGATGAATAGAAAGACACAGAGATAAGGAGGGTGTGAAATCTGTAACCGGAGCGCGCTCGAAGCAGGGCGGGGAGGAGTCGGGCAGAGCAGGCAGGGCACCGGGAGGACAGGCATTAACCTCCTGCGGGTGCCAGGAGGGCCAGGGATGCTCAGCACCCAACCTCGCGACTCCTTGGCCTCGCTGACACGACCCACAGCAAAGCAGGGGCTGTGAGGGGGCACAGCTGGATGCTGCTGCTCTGTCACAGGAACCGGGTCGGGGCCAGCAGCGCTGCCCACGTGCTGCCCACGGCTCACAGCCACCACGCACTTCAAAACCGAGCCTCGGAGAGCGGCATTTCCTTCACGGGGGAAAAAAAAGTACTGCAGCTGAAGCTGAGATCTGAAAGGGGCCCTGGAAGAGGCAAAGAGCCAGCACACAAGCTGCCTTTGGAGCTGCCACGGCCAGTGCTGAGCTCGGGGCCCTGGGCTGGGATTGACTCACGCTGCAGCCTGGAACGGGGCCCGTCCAAACTCTCCCACTTTGATCACCTTTTGCAGAAAAATGACGTAAAGATTAGATGCTCGTTAACATCTGGGTAAGCCATTTGCTGCAGCAGCTTATCTTGTCTGCTATTTGCCCATGGAAAAAAAGAAAACCCAGAAACAGCATGCACAGGAAAGCCCCAGCACCACAGCACTGGAAAGATGTTGCTGGAAAGTCCATCTGGTCCCTGAGCACCAGTCTGGCTTCTTCACCCACAGGAATTTCCACAGAGGCAGAAGCAGCTCAGGGCTGGGGCTTCCCAGCTCGACTCCTACCGTCACGATGCCAGGTTACGCGGTTAACTGGATGCTCTCTGCTTCTGGACAATGGTTCACTGAGCACAGCTGTCACCAACCAGCCGCGGAGCAGAGCCTGAACAAATGCATCCAGGGGAAATCAGATAATGGAGGTGGAGAGCGTCCTGTGATCCATTTAACTGTGCCTGCTCCCAGGAGAGCACCACGGAGACTGCTGGATTTGGGAAACCTGCCTGGCCACGCGCACGCTGGTGGTGGGAGACGCTCATGGACAGCAGGGCAGGATGGGGTGGGGAGGGCAGAAGGGGTGATGCTCTCAGCAGGCTGTGGGACCAGTGGGGACGTCAGTGACAGCCTCACTGAGCAGGTCTGGGGACAGGCGTGGGTGCTGTTCTCCAGCCAGGGTGAATCTCAGTGAGCTGCTGGCTGCACACAGCCTGTTCCCCAGGTGAAATCCCACCAAGGCGCCGTGTGGCACCTCCGCTGAGCCAGGTGAGTCCTGCAGCATCACCTGGCTCAGACAGACTCAGACCGCTCTCCCCCTGTCGGCTTAGTAATTAAGAAGTTGTTCTTGCCAGGTTAAGAACACATCTTTCTTTACAGAGCAGCCAGCTCTGTTTACCCCTAATTGCACTCTAGGTAAGAGGTTAAGAGGAGAAAGGATCTTATTATCTGGGTGAGCTGAAAACAAATCCCCTACCAGGAGGGCCCAGGCAGCTGTTTGTGCTTCTCCAAGGGCAGGGCTCTGCCTCCGGAACCTCCCCAGAGCCTCATCCCCACCCCAGAGAATTAATTATCTGCTCCTTGTGCCTGGGCAGAGAGCGGAGGGGAGGCGATTTCTTTGTTTTACAAGAGGAGTTGTGAGGCTGATGAATTAGGCCTAGCTCAGTGCTCGGAGTCAATTACAGCCCAGCCTGGACCGGCTCGGGGCCGTGCAGCGCAGCGCACCTGGTACAGGGATGCACACGTCCACGCACACGGAGCTGACGCAAGGCAGGATTTCTCCTGCGAGGGGCTGAGACCACTCACACTGATCCTATCGATCGGCCAAGGGCTGCAGAAGAAACCCCTGGTGGTGCCAGCCAGGCTGGGCAGTCCCAGGAACCAGCAGCGTGGCCACCACCGCCTGGCGTGCCGGCAACGGGCGCCTCCAGCGCAGGTGCTGGCTTCAGGGTACGCAGCAGGGCAGCACCCACGAGGGAGGCAGCAGTGGTTTAGTGCTCCTCGGGTCTGTCCTGACCACCAAGGAGCGAGGAGGCCAGCACGCAGCACGCCAGCAGCCAGCTCGAGATGGAGCTGGGAGCACAGGGACGGCGCAGGGCGGCTGCCAGGCACCCGCTGGGGTGCCAGCAGGGCTCAGTGAGTCGGAGCTGAGGGAAGGCGCACAGGGGACTTCACACAAAGCATCGGGACCTGAAAGTTTTTAAGTACACAGAATCAAAAAAGCAGGTTCAAAAGCGCTGAAGTTCTCCGATTGCCTTTAGCCCTAAGACGCCGGTCTCCCCACAGTCGTTTCTGTCACAGGGAGGTGGAGCTGCCTGGGAGGGCTGCTTGCCCGGGCTCCTTTCTCTGCAGATGTACTCGCATTTCCCATGCAACCCAGAAAACGTGCTTATCTTCCCTGGGCAGGGATGCTTCTTGACACAGCCAAGAGGAGCTGCAATACGCTCTCTGTGGGAAGCAGGGCGCATTCTCGGCAGGAATTCCTTTCCCATCTCCTGAGCACACCAGTCAGTTCTGAAGCAATCTCTTCTTCTCTGTTAACAGCACAAAGCGTTGGCAGATTACCCAGCTTAAAAAGTAATTTAAACTGCACTTAGAATATATTTCATGAAACATTTCTGAAAACATTGCCACTTCCAGTCTCCAGCCATGACAGTAGCATCTGAAAGAAGCACAGTGCAGTGAAACCTCTCCCTTAAAGTCAGATCTCTTGAAATTTCTGCTGCTTCAAGCTGCTGTTTCTATTCTTTATTCACTTAAAAGGTGAGGGAAATAGGCATAGTCAGTATCAGATTTTGTTGTTTTAAAACTCGTGGAAGTAAATACTTTGATCTAATCACATGTAAATTATGTGTCACTGCTAAAATATGGGGCCGCATGTAAATCTCAGATACAAAAGCAGTCATCACCGTCTCCATGTAGAATGAAAAGAAATGTAGAATATTAAAATCAGGAAGTTCAACTTTATTAGCATAACAGCTTCAGTTTATATTCATGTGCACCAAAAATGCACTCACAGCAAAATGACTTAGGAAGAAGAAAAGCCCTGATTCAGCACACTAACGTAACTTGTATTTAGCTTTAAGCATGTGCCTAAGTCCAGCTGGGCTTAGGTCCAGATGAAGAAAAGTCCTCCGATAGTCAAGACAAAGCCAATAAAAGTTGAACAGATTGCAGGCTGACCAAAAAATCCAGAGTAGTTTTTATCCGAGTTCAGTCTTTGTTTCAATTCACGTGTACTCCGTTGTTACACGGCTCTTTGTCCGGGCCTAGCCCAGGTCCTCTGAGGCCAATAAATTCCTAATGAATACTACCCTTGAAGGACGGAGGACAAAAGCTTCCAGACTGCATCTATCTTCTGCTGACAGCAAAAGAGGTGGATGGAGCAGCTACAGGTAACACCAGCAGCCGAGGAGAGCATCCTGGTGCGTGCAGAGCTGAGCAGGACGCTCCTCTCTCTCCGGTGAAATACAAAAACATCAAATATGTGAAGAATGCACGGGGCCATGCATTGACCCTGCTCCCCTCTCCCTCCTGCACTGGTGGCAGTCCAGGGCCCTGGGGCACCATGTCCCAGGCTGTCCTGGCTGGGAGGTGTCACCCCGCAGCCGCAGCCCAGAACAGAGCCGTTTGTTAAAGCAGAATGTAGGAAAAGTAACAGGGAAAGGTTTCCTGCCACCTCTAAGTGGAGGAAACTCGTTACCCTTTCAGTACCAGCGGCTGGCAGCCAGACAGGCAAGAAAGGAGTCTCAGCACACACGTCCAGGAGAGCAGCACACGCTGCCAGGCTTTGGGGCAGAAATGGGAGAAGGGAGGAACCCCAGGTGTGTACAGCTAGGGAAGGAGAAGTCTTACCGTCAGTGAAGCCAGACAGGTTAGTGCAAAATTGCAACGAAAAGTGATTGTTCTCAAAGTGAGGAAGAAACACTGAATAATCTGGACAGAGCATTGTCCTTTGAGAACAGGCGCCAGCAGCAGGGAAACACATTTCATGATGATGCCCAAAAAGCCCTAAGCCCCCCAAAAAACTCTTTGGTGCTACAATTTCAACCATTTCCCGACAATCTTCTGTTCCAGGGTAGCAGCACCACACCCTTTCACAGCAATGCGGAGCGTCACTGGCCCCATGCACACGGGAGGAGACCGCGGCTTTCTCACTCTGCACATTAGGTGACTTCACTCTGTTTGCTGTGAGCTTTTGCAAAAGGTTCCTTTCATCAGCTGCCTTTGAGGTTCTTTGAAAAATGGAAATAATTAGGCACGTGTATTTTCATTGGCACAGAGAGGCTGAAGCCTGATCTGAAAGGCTTTCCCTTTGCAAGAAAATAATAGGTCCAATTAAATGTACTTTATTCTCTGAAGTTCAAACGCCATAGCTTTGGGGGCAAGAATTACGTGCGGAACAGGGATATAGGTATATACGGGACTGGGGTTAAACATAATCTGCTCGGGTTTATAAAACAACGATGCTGATGATTAATAGGGAAGCAAGGGGTGAAAGAGTGCCACTGCTGTCCAGGGGGACAGCAAAAAAGCCCTGTGTCCACTGGTGCTCGGTCCATGGAGAACCGAGGGACTCCATTTGCATCCGAAATCACACGCCAAGCTGGGCACCGACGGCTGTGGCTGTGACAAAAACACACGGGCCCTGAAGGGAGCAGGATCAGACCCCTCATTATCACTCTCGAGTCCTTGTTCAGTTAATTCTTGCAAGAAGTTTCTAAAGTTTCAAAGGAATATAAATCTTATCAAAGCTTTCCTAATTGCATGTAAATGACAGGTACCGTGTCACCAAGCGCGGGCTGCGGGGAAGGGGCAGCAGAGCTCTCTGGAACCAGGTCTGATGCTGCATGCAAAACTCACTGCGGAATCAAACCCTCTTAGAAATGTTAACCAAAAGCAAAATTGCAGTTAAAAACATCCAGAGAGGATGCTTGAAAAATAATTAAAATCATGTGAGACAAATCAACATGCTCCTCTGCTTATGGGTCTTGGCTCTCCAGGGGCTAGCGCCTGTCTTTGCTGCCTGCAATGGCTTTCTTCCCATATGCTTGGACAAAAGACACTTTATTACAGTAATTTATCACCCCATAAAAGTGGCTTTCTTGTATTGCTGAATAATTTTGAAAGAAATATGTTTTAAAAATTAAAAATGCAGTCGGTGTATGCACACTCAGGTCTGCTGGGAGACATTTCTGCAACTACTGTAACTGCCTGGGTAGTTTTAATACCTCTACCTTCTATTATTTAAAGTATGATGATATTTTTTCCTTCTCTGAGCTTTGTCAGCTATAAATAAAATATAAGGGTTGAATTGTACAGGGTATCTGTAAGCACTTCCATTATTGATACTTAATGTTACTTGGAGGGGCTGCTGAGACCACGGTGCTTCTCGTTTGCACCTGGACCCTGAGGCCCCACCGAGAAGAGCAGAAGGTGCGTGTCCGAGAGGTTGTTTTCTCTGTGAACGCTCCCATGTTTTGTCCATCATCTTCCAGCAAGAAAATGGGGCATAGCCACACACCCCTAATGAAACATTGAACTAAGATGCTTGGGGAACTTGTGCGAACTGCTTGGTGGGGTGCAGGACTGACTGAGGAGCTTCCCAGGACTCAGCCAATGCTCAGACAAGGCCTAGAGCTGGGGCTGTGATCCCCAAACAGCAACAACTTGTTTTGCATTTATTCTCCTGGATCACCAGGGTCCTTTGCCTGGAACAAAAAGCTCTGGAACAAAGGGAGCCTCTGCTCCTGGGACTCATCATTTAAGGTGTCGCCTGTATTTATCTCAGTGGATAAACTGGTGTGGATCCTGCTCTCCCTGCCATTCCTTCAGGGTTTTTTAGCCCACGTGGCAGATTCCAGCCCATGCAGCCAGGACCCGAGCGCAGTGCCAGAGCTGGGTAAGGGCAGGCACGGCCAGGCTCGGCTGTCCGGGTGTCTGCAGGCTCGCACAGGGAGGGCAATGGGCAGAGCAACACCTCCAGCACCTGCAGCTCTGCGAAGGGAAGGGGCAGGGAGCTGGGAGCTTTCCCAAGAGCTAATGACCACCTTTGGTTTTACTGCAGCCCGGAGAGATCACAGAGCAACCGGACTGCTAATCAGCCCCGAGAACACACCAGCATTTGCCTGATGAATCAGTACGCACCCTGAGCTGAATTTCCCCTTCATATTCTCTGTTTTCCATATTGCCTCAGAACTGGTAATGACTGCATCAGATACCCTTTGCCAGCCATACGCTAATTACAGATCTGCAACCAGTCCTGATGCCTCTTCAAACCACAAGATGATAAAATTAGATCATTACTCACATCACCCTCTTTGCAGACAATTATCAGAGGGATGCAACCGTATCTCCCCACTTCGTTTTCTAAGAAGTGACTTCAAGACCCGGGGAGTGAGACAGTGAGTCATGCTCAGAGGTTTCTTCATCAGCTTTTATTTAATCAGAGTTAACAAAATGTAGCGCTGTTCTCTGGGCACAGATACCTAAGCACCAAACACATGTAGCAGCTCTTCCTTTTGCTGCAGCAGCCGCACAAACCCCGGGTTGTGAGTAAACCCAAATCTCCAGTCCGCACTGTAAAACCAGAGGGGCTGCCAGGAAAATCACAGGCACCGGGATCAGAGCGAAAGCAGAAGGGTGGGAGCCGGCACCCAGCCACGAGCAGAAGGGAGAGTCCCCGAGCTCTTTGGCTGGCAGATGGACTCCGTCTGTACCGCACAGCCCTGAGCTGCCATTTCAGGGGGAAGCGCAGCAAGCAGTGGCACAGACACGGGGCAGGGCGCTGAGCACTGGTGCTGGGTCCACCTAGACAGACGCTCACTTGTTGAGCTCGGGCTGTGGGACAGGTACGGAGCTACATGGGGGGACAGCAGTGGCTCACCTGGCCAGTGCCCTGCCTCCACCAGCGGCCACAGGCAGGTGCCTGGGGCACAGGTTCAAGTCCAGCCTCCAGTTTAGGTGTGTTTATGGAGTCATTTGGGGACGCACCGGGTTGGGCTGGGCTTTTCCCACATGTGCCCTACAGCCTTCTGAATGTCTGAAGTGGCACAAATCCACAGTCCTGCTCACACTGCCCTTGCAGCCAGCTGTGTGAGCTCCTGCTGCGCCTTTCTGGGCATTCCCAGACAGTCCTGCAGCATCACAGACACTCACAGGCCTGCCCTGATTATGCTTCGTGTTATGGTACCAGCCTTACGCAGCTTAAACACATTAATAAATAATGAATTGATATTGTTGGCTCGCTCTATATGTAAGCAGCATGTGTCCAAAATGGTTACCAGCACATCAGTGGAAGCTACCATAGATAATTATAAGCTACAATTAAAAGCAATCTATTGCTCTGCTGGACTGTGTAGCAGTGTGTAATAAAAGATTAACTACTTATTAAAATAGCTACAAGTATTTCATTAACCTTTATGCATTATTTCTAGTGGGGCTCGCCTACACCGCAGTGACTGCAGTGACTGAGTGGGCTCCGTGACAGAGGCACTGGGCAGGCTACAGGCAGCCCCGTTCTGGCACTGCGTGACTAGCAGCCCTGTGAGTGCTTAGCCCCAAGTATTTACCCAGCCACTTGGGCTGCATTTCTGGCCCTTGCTGAGCTCTGTGCTGCGGCAGTGATCTGGCCAGCAGCACACAACCAGCAGGTACGGTGCCACCGGCGGAGCTGCAGCCCCGTGGGAGCACAACCAGACGCCTCCTTGGCGCCCTGCATGCCACAGCCCTGGCAGAGCCAGGCCACCCCGCGCAGTGCCCGTTCCCAGTGCTGGCATCCCAGGCTGGATGCCCTGGCGGCCGTCCTGCACGCCGCAAAGACATTTTGCCTCTGCATAGTGGCCATTCCCTGTAATTCTCTAGTGAGCAGTTGAACTCTTGCCCCTGGTTTCCTTCCCGTAATAGAAATCAGACGAGTCTGTTTTCCGGCAAGGCGTTCTGCAGGGAGCCCTGGATGGCTGCGCTCACCTTCACCCCGCTGGGAACTCCCACACCGCCGCCCCGTGCTGTCTGCACCTGGGAGCTGAGATACTTTTAGTGTGTTCATCTCTGATCAGTCGGATCTGGATTTACACCGACGTATGGAAACTCAGGCAAAATCTCTTCTCTGAGCACATGCTATTAGCTCTGCTGATTACTCCCAGCAGTACTTACCACTGGATAAGAGAGGCTTTCAGAACTGAAGTACTTCAAGGACTGTGTTTCCTTCACAGAAGCTAGTCTGCTTCTTGAACACCCTGCTACTTGAAGCTCTTTCTGCCCATGGCAGCCTATTACAAGCCTGCAGAAACTAAATCGACTCAAAAAGGGTTTGCGACCGAAAAGTGGTTTTCGGGAATGCCTTTTAAGTGTGTAAAATAGCTTCATGGCTTGTTGAAAGCCATCAAGAGGGTATGCTTGAGGAACAGTGTTTGGAGACAGCAGAAAATAGCTCTTCATTCCAAAGGATGGGAAAGTGTCTTTAGTTCTCTCGTCCTCTCCTATGCAAATGATTTCCTTTAATGTGTCTGGTCCTAGAGTGATAAAGGACACACCTTCTCCATCAGATGAAAGTGCCATCTCTTCTCTGTGTTCCTCATCAGGCTTTCACTGTGCAGGAGAGACTCTGAATTCTTCCTTTAACTTCTCAGATGTGTCTGTGTTTAAGCCCCCCCGTTACATCCCATTTGGCTCTCCAGCCTCACCAGCTCCCACCTGACACCCCGCCGAGGCTGCAGCCTCCCTGTATTCCCACTGCAGTGGGACCCAGGCACACGTAAGGGACCTCTTGTTATGCTTGATCTGAAAGAGGTGTGGCATGTGGAAACAACAGCCCTTGAAACATGCACGCAGCAGTTCTGTAACCCCAGCCAGGGTTCAGCAGCTGTACACAGGCAGATTCCCTAAACCACTGCACTCCGCATACGCCACTCACCAGCAAAGCCGCTTCTGTGCCGAGACGCAGCTCCTGCCTGCTCGTACCTTTTGCTTCTAAAGGTTGGAGCCTCTCTGATCTATCAAGGTGAGGAGGAGAAGGATTTTGCTCACAAAGATCTGTGATCCCCATCGGTCTGCACCTGTGACTTCACACCAAACAAAGCCCTTAGCTGGCAGTGCCAGGTGTCACAACGGCCATGTGGGGCTGCCCCGGTGTAACATCGCTGCTGCCCTCACACACCAAACAGCTCAAAGCAGAGGGCTTGGGAACCTCTCAGCAAACTCAGAAGTTTCCAGCCTGTGAAGTTAGTTGAGGAGTTTCCTTTCACACAGCTCTACTTTCGGTGACATATTAGGAATGCAGGCACCTTGTTTCCACCGGACTATCTGTGTGCTGAAGCTTGTCTGGGAGAGGAACCCTGCCCAGACCCTCTGTGACCAGGGGCACATCCAAGAGCTCCCAGCACAGGAGCACGAAGTTTGCGAAGCAGCGTGACTCACCACGAGGGATAAAATATCAGCCTGCAGGAATGGCTCCAGGAGCACTGTACGAGAGGAGCTGTGAGGTCTGCCTGCCATGGGCTCCTGCCCCTGAGCAGCTGGCAATCAGCGCCGCCGCAGCACGGATTCTTCTCTAGCCCCCTGCAGCAGGGGGGCAGCAAGGTTCAGGTGCCCAGTCCTCAACGATGCGGTGCTGATCAGCTCAGCAGTGCTTGTGAGTAACGAGGCATGCCAGGGCGATGCACGTTGCCTTTCGGCCCTGATAAATCTTTGACCCCGACGTAATTTGCAACACTGAATTGCAAGTACAAACTGTATAAAGGAGACTCGTTTTTGTTAATCTCAGGGATCCAGTCTTGCAGTGCAGTCCCCCTGAACAGTAGCAGAAATTGCCCTGTTGCACATGGTGAAAGGTTACGGAAGACGTGGCAGGTAGCAAAGGTTCTGTAAAGCTTTTCTTTGGCTTCTGTCTCCTTGGGGGTTGAAAATGTGGTTTTCTGCTGTGACATTGTACACAGGGTGTGGAGCACAAGGAGATTTGTGAACTGCTTTCTGGAGAGCAAATGCCTTTCAGTTATGGCGTGTGCAAACTTAGATGTCTTACGCACGATTTAGCAAAAATGCAGCACTTCACTAAATTGTCCTTGTGTTTGCTTCATCCCACTCGCTGCTTTCAAACACAGAAAGCACTCTTCTCCTTGTCAGAGATCCAAAGAAGACAAGCCTCTGAAGAGAGCATTCCTGCCCAGGGCTGGATCCAGAGCTCTGCACTTGACTCAGTTCATAACAAGTGTCCCTGAACTGGCTGTTTACAGGATGAATGAAATATTTTTCACCCTTTGTTTGCCTCAGTTCTTGGCACTTCTGCAAACCATGAAAAGCTGAAAAATCTGAAGCTTGCCAAGAACTGTTAATATGAAAAATTAATCTTTCCCTTGTAGTCTGGCAGTCACATCTCGTGTCTCACATTTGATCTTGAGCAACACCTGAGCTTTTTCCTACAAAATGGTGCAGAGCTGGGGCTCCACATACATCTTGTGCAGGTGCCCTCTCTCCTTTGTAGCGTCGGAGCAGGCAGGCACTGCCACACAGCTCACTCGGCTGCCTCCTCCACAAGCACGCAGCTTTTAAAACAAATCCTCGGCTGTTTTCATCCTCTTATCCCATATTCCAATTTATCTCATCCACTGAAGCAGCCACGGGTATTTCAAACCTGTCTCTAAGCATCTGAAAGAAGTGCTGAGCACTCACAGCTCCCACGGCAGTCGGTGGGTGCTTCGTGTTCCCTGAAACTCCCCGACACCGGAGCCAACCCCGCTGCCTTCCCAAGCACTGCAGGTGCAAACTGGCCTCGTTCCGCTGCGGTTGGCTGCAGCCCACCAGCTCACGCTGGCACTCTGATCCCACCCATCCTCTTGGCAAGGCCACTGGAGGGTTGTTTACACGGCTGGCCACTGTTTGGCCCACGCTAGTGCTTCAAATGTATAAAATACTGCATGCAAGTTGAGATGGGATTGCTTGAATGGGGAGGGATTATCAGGAAGCCAGGCTGGGCAAGCAATTGCGTGATGTGCACGCCTTGTCCCATGCCCTGAAACACAGCACCGGCCACCCCGCTCCAGTGCCCCGCTCAGCCAGCAGCCCGGCGGGGCGACTGAGCAGAGCGGTGCTGGGAGCAGGCAGCCCCGGCAGGCTGTAACAGGAGCTGCGGGCCCAGCTGCGTGCGCTGTAAAACTCCCCTTGACACCGCCACGGCCCGCTCCGTGGAGCCCTGGAATGGTGTCAGCATTTCTCAGACAGCACCATATCAAGTTCCCGCAAAGATTTTCAAAGAGGTGTTTGCTTCCCTGAGTTTTCTTTGAGTCAGTGCAAAGTGAAGGACCGAGGAGAGGAGAAGGCAGCGCCCTGCGAGTCTCGGGCCAGCCTCGGTGCCTTCCAGTCCTGTCCCTGTCTGCCAGGCGCCCACCCACACTGGTACATGGAGGGGCCGGGCAAGGCCAGCACCTGAGGGGGAAGCCGGGCACTCGCAGCAAGAGCTCTCTTCCTTACAAGCTGCCACAGGCATTCGTCTAGGAAGAAGGATCAGGCACCGAGGCTGCCAGTCCTGGCACCTCCCAGCAGCACTAAATAAAAACCGGTGGCAAGACGAGGAGGGACTCCTTTATTTACTTGTAAGTGCCGGGGACCAGAATACAATTCTGTGTTTCTTTCTCGGGTCAGGAATGTGTTTGTAGCTTGGAGCTAATTAAAATGCTAAATTACCTCCAGCAACTGCAGAGAAAAAGCAGAGGAAAATCATAATTTAATTACTTGTGAGAAATACGTTTAAGTTGCTCAGTTCATTTTGAGATAAACAAACGAAAGCACGAAGATTTGACGCTTCGGTGGGTTTTCAGAGCAGGAAGCAGTAACATTTCTGTCTGTAGGAACTTCCTCTGGTTCCCCTCTTGGCACTACGGGAACTTCAGGAAGCTGCCTGAAAGAGGCACAAAACCCTTGCTGTGGCAAGAAGCCAGCCCTGTCCTGAGCTCTGCTGCACAAAGGCAATGCAGACGAACCCACCCAGCGCCAGGGTACGACACTGATCCCAGCCCGGCCTGACCCCCCGGCCAGGGCCCTGTGGCTGGGCAATAGAGAGGGCACTGGATGGACACGAGTCACCACCATAAAGTACGTATCCCGCCCAGACACACTGTTAAGATCCATCTTTCTCATTTGGAGAAGCAGATTTTGCCATCCTCCCCCACCCCTTTAAGCTCAGAAATGTTAACAAACGCTGCAGTTCAGAGGTATGAACAAGGCTGTCCTGCTAATGTGTCTCTCTCGATTCCTGTCATGCTGCCCTGGTGATATTCAGCGTGATAATGAAGGCAGCAGGGAAGGAGGAACAGAGAAAATAGCAAACAACCTGGGAATAATGTGGAGTTGCCATGAAGAGTCACAGATTCGCTTACCGGAATTTAGAGCAGTTTGATTTTTCCTCTGCAGCCCTGCTTGTTGTGGCAGAAGCAGGACGTGGCGGCAGCACCACCCAACAGGGCTCAGCACGGCAGGGGCAGCTCAGGTGCAGCCGGGAAGGTCTGGGCCAGGCGTTTTCCAGCTCAGAGACACTCCTCGCCGGTGGAAGGAGGGGGTGCAAACAGCCCCAGGACTGACCCCTCACGGCCTTGAGACATTCCTGCTTAACCTGGGCTTATTTCAACTTATTTCAACTGAACTTCCTCGGTTCGCCTGGGCTCCCAGAAGTAAGGGCCTTGTTCTGGTTTCTGCAGAGCTCTGTAGACATGGATTTATTTCCTTGTGAGATGATTTTTTTTTTCATGTTGTCATTTGTTTTGTATCTTTCCTAACAGACACAGTGTTTAATTTGCTGTAACTAAATATACCGAGATTTCAGTGACTTTTCTGTCAGTTCCCATAACTCATTTTGATGGGAGCCCATTGGATTTTAATGGAAACCTATTAGGTGAACATATTGCAATCATTAATGAACCTGATGTGTGATTATACAGGGAACCACCTAAAGGCAATTAAAACCTATCAAGACCACTAGAGAATAAAGAGAAGGGAAGTTAGTCTTGTTTAAGACAACTGGCGCAGACAATGATCTGAGAAGGAATTAAATAATCCTTGATGAACAAAAGTTGCGTAGGTGGCTACCTACACACGCAAGCAAGGGTTTCTTTTGAAAATCAACAATTACAGGAGTCGGTTTCTGTTCTGTCTGTTCTGTTCTGTTCTGCTGCAGGTGATGTTTAGACAGGGAGGCTCAGCCTTTTCCTTCCTATTGCCTAACTCGGACATTTTGCTTATCCTCTGGTTCTCTGTGTCTGGGGCAGGAGAGCACAGTGTCCTGACACCCCTGTTCTTGTAGGCCCAGGCAGATGGAAGCAAAGGAGTGGTAAAGCCGCTTGTTTCAGAAGGATTTCCTGGGTGACACTGTGCCTGGGTGGCGCACGCATAATTTTCAGTGTGTACTCAGGGCAGTACAGAGCTTGCACGCAGCTAACAGGGAGCACAGAAATGGCAATAGCCCAGAGGAAGAATTCCAGGTGTGGCAGGGAGCAGAGCCGTGTCCCACCCTACGTTTTCTTTTCATCTTATGTTCCTGCCCCCATGAAAAGTTTCTTGGTGCCAGGGATTTATCCCCACGGCCACGAAGGGCTAGCTTCTCCAAGAGAAGGCTGCAGGCTCAGAAGGTGTCCCCAAATCACTGAGAAACGCCTCAAAATCAGAGGAAATCCTACTGCTTGCCAACCACTAGACAATTAAAGGGTCCCCCACTCAGCTGTCATTGACATGCTCTGAGTGCCCCCGGTGCAGAAAGCAGGGAACGTAATTAGCTGGCGGGCGATGTCCACCAAGTGCCATTCCCGAGCACGTTTGCCTCAGTCCCTATTCAGCAGCCTCAGCAGCGAGGCTGCCTCCCCATCCACTGGCAAAGGCTTTCGCCAAGATTTTAGAATTCAACAATGAAACAGGCCTGCAACTAAAACATTTATCTGGCAGTTTTCCCTCTTTAAGTCAAAGTGTTATGTTGGCACACTGCGCTGTGGGTGGCGATTTGCCAGAGAAAAGCATGTGTTGGAAAACCTTGCTCAATATTATAGCAATCTCGTGCTCGCAAGCCTCGTACGACGCGAGGAGGAGCCTGCCAGCAGGGCTCGCAGCCGGCCTCCCCTCTTCCCCAGGCAGGCACTGGAGCAGAGCTCGACAGCGGCCCAGAGCACTGGGGAAACGAGGTGTTGCTGGCTGCGGCCTCGCGTGCTGCTCGTGGGGCTGAGGAGGAACCGGTGAGGCCGGGAGCACGCGGGGGCTGCCGCCAGCACCACTCAGCTGGTCCGCAGGAGGAAAGCTCCACGGGGGACAGCACAGAGAGCCGGGGGGTGTATTGCAGAAACATTTCCCTCCTGGGTGCCTGAGTTTCTTTGGGGCCAGCCCGAGTGTTTTTATACAGGGCAGATAATCTTCGTTGGAGCAGAAGGACCACGGGGGCTTGTCTGTAGCACAGAAATCTCAGGGAGGAGGCAGCGGGAACTTAATATGCAGCAGAGGCCTGGCCTCAGGAGCCAGTTGCATCATTCATTTAGCAACGCTCAAGCCATGGAGCAAGAGCCGGGCCTCCAAGTACGCGCTGGGCATTGTGCTGCTGCCAAGCTCCTTCCGAGGAGAGCCAAGGAGCGAGCCAGGGCACAAACAAGAGGGCGAAATGGAGCGTTACAGAGCCAACCAGACCCAGGGCGCTCTTTACTCTGTGCCCCACTGCCCAGGTGCCTGGCCAGGTATGGGACCAGCAGCACTGCTGTCTGGATGGGTGCAGAAGCAGAGGCTGATGGCACAGCTCAGCCCCGTGCCTGTGGAGCTGTTCCCCGAGCACACACAGTGAGCACTCCGCTGTGTCCCACCAGCACCGGGCTGGAGTTCAGCCTCTGGGGGCGTTTCTAACAGGGAGGTCTCTGAGGCTCAGAAGGCCACTGCTGAAAGCAGGGCTCTAACTCAGCCTCTGAGGCATGTGCTGGGGGTCACTGGGTGAGACAGGGGCCTCTGCTTCAGTAGGTGGTGAAAAGTGCAGCCTTGTCTTCGAGTTCTTAGTTGGGACTGGGATTTCTCATTGCACTTTACGTATGGAAGCAATATTCCTCTCAAACGGTCACGCAGGCGCAGCACTGCTGCAGGAGTTGCTCCGAATCACCTGGGTAGGGAAGATATGGCACAGATAAATGCTCACAGTGCTCGGTACGGACGCAGAGCAGAGCTGCAGCATTGCAAACTTGTTAGCGAAGCAAAGTTCCTCACAGTCATGCAGCTACAGGAAATGAACAGTCCAACCTGCTACGGTTATCGCAAAGTGTGGTTAGAGCAAGAGCAATTTCATTTGTATTTAATGAGGTTTCCAAGTAAAGACATTCTGGGTTTTCTAGGATCTTCATCTCGCTCTATTTAAAGCCAGCAGCAGGGCAGATGTCACACAGGAAATAACACCGCTGGGCAGCTGAGCTCCTGCAGCAGCAGAGCCGCTGCGCTCCTGAGTTGCACAGAGCAAATACTGGAATCTAGCACACCTCAGTGGAAGTCAGCAGAAGAGCCCCCTTGTCAGGGCTGCCATGCCTGGTGCACTTGCTGCTCCAGCCGTCCCGCAGAGCCCCCCAGCCCTGCGGTGCCAGCAGGCAGCAGCCAGTCCCGGGTGACAGGGTCAGGAAATAACCGTGCGGGGCCGCCGGCGCCCAGAGTTACTGTGCAAACAGGGGGACACTTCACTTCCCCCCCAAAAATGTGTGAAGGGCCAGAGGGGGAAAACGCGTGGCTGTGATTAATGCCCCAATCTTTTATGAATAAACCTTCATAATTCTGTCTGCGCCACCTCAGTGATGCCAGGAGCTGCTGTGCTCTCAGGTCTCCCAATGCATGCAGTTCTGTAAGTTTGCTTTGAAAAAAAAAATACAGAGACTACATTAATATTGTGCACATGCCACCAACGCAAGCCTTCCTCCAAAATGCTTCCCTCCTGGCAGAAGTGCATGTGCCTGCAAACCTCCTCAGGACTCCTGGTCTGTTTCCTATTTACCCTCCATTTGAACTGAAGCAGGAGATTAGAAAACAATCCCTTCCTTTTCTGCAGGTTGCTTGCTTTCTGTCTCTGTGGCATGGCTGGCCTCGTCCCTGCTGCAGCTGAGCAGCCCGTCCTGCTGCACGCTCCAGTCTGGGATTTTTGACCTTTTGGAGAAAACCCCAGTCCCACTAACGGCAGGATTCTCCATTCACAAACACTTCTGACATGGGGGACACCTCTCCATTCTTCCTCTTTCCCCAAACCACAAGCAGAAGCTTTAATTACCTTTTCTTACCTTTTAAGACGTTTAACCCTCTTCTTACTGAGCTCCCTGGGCAAGCTCAGCGACTAATTTGCCTTTAATTTGTGCCTGATGTCCCCTGAGATGTGTGGCTTTGTGGACTTCCAGTGCCAGAGACCACAGGTTTAAAACACACAGCAACATCTGAGGCGGGAGGTGGGATCTGGAGTGTTTGTACATTTTTGTCTGTTTTATGTCCCTCTTCAGCCCAGCTTCCAGTGATGGAGGCCATGAGCAGCACTTGCAGAAGTGAACGGATAGCATGGGACGGGCGGTATAATTCTGTTTTCATCGTTCCAATCCAACATACCTCAACGTTAATGTTGTCCTTCGATAGATTTATTTGCTATTTGGTGCTTGGATTCACTAAACCTAACAGAACCCTTTCAGACCTGTCACAGTCACTCCAGGCTGTCACAGACCCTTCTCACACCGTGGATTCTGTCCTCACCTCACCAGTCCCACTCCAGTCCCTGCCTTCCCAAGACACACAACTCTCCTGCACCAATATAATGCAGGGATCATACCTGTATATCACATTAGCACTGTGATAGCCTATTTTCATCCTGATCCTCACACTTACTCCTGGCTCTAAATTGTTCTTTATAAAGAGGTCTGCAGGGACCTTGTTATTTTTATTGCTGTAATAAGGCAGCTCTACAGGAGAGAAGGGAAGTGTTTAGAAAGATAGCAAAGACCCCGAGGCTGCCTGAATGTCAGGGAGGGCCTGTTGCAGAGGCCAAGCAACCTGGGCTCTTGCCTTGGTGAGCACTAATCCCTTTGGCTTGCCAAATGGGCACCAGGCAGTAAAAATAAAGGGTGACACTGCCCGACTCGAGGATTAACCTGACCAGGACAGGAGGCAGAGCAGGGCTGTAACACCTCCTTAGAGGGGGCTTTGGAGCGGTGGATTCAGATTCCCTCTAATCCTCAGGGAACAGGCTCCTTCAGCAGCAATGACCTAAACCCCAGGGAACTGCTTAGCACGAGCAAATTAGCAGCATCACATTTATGTATTTCAGGTAACTCAGAGCACAGGCTCAGCAGGCAGGTAGCAGGCGAGGAGCGTTACCCGAGCTGTGTGTGCAGCAGCACCAGCACTCAGCAGCCCTGCTGCAGGGGCACTGGGGCAGCACGGGCACCGCAAGCTGCCTGGGCACCCTCCTGCCCTGCCCTGCCCAACCCGGGTTGCTCTGGGAGCATTCCTAAGAGTTTGTGCATCCATAGCATGTCCCTCCTGCACCGCTAAGTGACAGTTTCATCCTGAGCTGAAGGCCTGTGCAGCAAAGCCTCTGACCAGGCTGCTTTACAGTGAAGGCATTTCCTAGAAAGATTTTGAGAGGAACACACAACATGAGTCCTGCTCCTTGCTGGCTGTTTGGGGTCACCATTACCTTCAGGCTGAGCAGTTGGTGGCTGCAGCTACGCTCCTAGGACGGGGACTGACTGAAGGCTCAGCAGACTGCGGCGCATCACCAGATTCACCTCTCAAGACACAACAGAACTGGTTTCCAGAAAGGGCAGAAAGAGAAGAGGCTTGGTGGACACAGGGAGACGAGGCAACAGACGGCCATGTAAGCACTGCGTGTCCACAGAGAGTCAGTGTGCTGGCTGGAACAGCTATTGATCCCATTAGTGCTACTGTCTAGTTCGAACGCAAGTCCTCCAGCGTGCATGACAGGAGGTCAGGGCCTGGACTGCATTTCCAAATCATGCAGTAATAACAGAGAGAGAACGCTGAAGGTAGCGCAAGTGTAAGAGACTTCCAGGATTACAGCTGAAGCAAA